CTATTTGAGCTTTCTCATCTCGTTTTTGCCGCTTGGACTTTTGCTTTTTTGGCTCGGAGCTTAATTAGGGGCCATGGGGTGAGTATCCTATGTATGTGTGTGGGAGAAATGGAGGATATAGTTGGCTTTCCCATATACTGGGTGGGTTTCTAAAGCGAACTGAATGTTGAAGAACTTTTTAGCTTTCTCCGAAATTTTTCTAAGCGAGATATATACAAGTACTTAAAATCTTCAGTGTAATATTCTCAAAACATGTACTTCCCAAAACCTATTATTTTATTTTCAAAACAAAGAAGAAGAACCTTCTTAGACTTCCCCAGTTATCATTTATAACACAATATTTTATTTTCTTATCCACTCCCAACTCGATTTTTAAAGAAAATTGGACAAAACCATCGTTTTGGGACCCAGAAAAAAATACAATTACCTAGTTAAAAATTCTGTTTCAAGCGGCCAAGCGTTTTGCAACTACCGAAAAAGGAAAGCGAGAAAACCTCGGAAAAATCACGGCATATTGTGGGTGGCTAAGGGAAAACCAAAAACATGACAAGCTTAGGAAAATGGTGAGGGAAACATTTTCTGGGGAAGGGAAAGTAAAAAGTGAAAAGTGAAAAGCGAGGAGAATTAAAAGCGACAGTGGCCGCGACGTTTGTGGTCCTCTTTTCCCGGTGGTTGTGGTCGCTGTTCGCGAGGTCTGCCTGTCAAAAATATACCTAAGCCCCCAAACTCGATTAGCATATCCAGAGATTTTTGTTATGACCACAGAACAGCCCCACCTTTGCCGAAATTATTAAATTTTAGACACATTTTGCTCGGTGGCCCGAGGCTTAATGTAAATTTGAAGAAATGGAAACTGATTTTTTTTCACTTATTCCGCGGCCATCAAATAAACTCCAGCTAAAGTCTAGCACTTGTTGATTAAAGGCAATTATTTCTAATAAAAAAGTATGTATATTTTATGATCTATAATTTTATTAATGGAGATTATGGGAGCCATAGGAATTTACCAGTTCCGCGAAACGTTGTCTCACTTATCAATTAAAATTTCAAATTGCATTAAATGTTTTTTATTGTTCGGTTGGGGTGTGTGTGTTGATGTTTTTTGTTGTTGTACTTATTTCCATTTGCCTTGACATGCGACTAAGCGTAATATTTCATTCAATTAAAACGGTCACAAAAATGACAACTGGGTGTTGATTATTCCCTCGCACCCACTCGCACATACAAAATATTTAGGTTTATTAATAATAATGCAATTACGCATAAAAATGTTTTAATTTATTTCAATTAAGCGTTAATTAAAACTCTGTTTGTTGTTTTTGTTTGCCCTGTGTGATGTGGTGTTTAATATTTTTTTTTTTCCTTTGAATTGTTTAATATGCGCGTGCAGGCGAAATGCAAAGCAGTTCAATGTGTAAGTGACAGAAAAGCGGGGGTAGTCTTAGGAGTTTGTATGATAAATCAGAGTTTTATTTTCGAAACAAAAATATTTAAACAAAAAATCAAAAAGTTAACAATGAACACAATTATTATAAAGACTGTAGGATTTAGAGGGAGTTCCTAGTTTTTACAGGACTGCTCGCATTGCTCCTTGGTGTCGAAATTGTTTTGGCTTCCCTTGCAGCCACTGTAGGAAAATTTGCTGCACTCATTGGTGTCCTGGTGATAGGACCACTTCGGAATCAGCCCACGACAGGGTCCCACTAAAGCGAACTCCTCGGCGCAAATAGCTGTATTTAAACAGTATTTATTTAAAATGTTTCTTTTGAAACTTAACCATTTCTTGGTTAAGACTCGTATAATTACTTACGATTTTTAACTTGGGCCATAGCAGCTCCCAAAAGACAGCAGAGCAGCGCGAAAGCTGCAAAGTATTTCATATTGTTTTTGATATAGTTTTTGGATCACGGAAATGTTCACGGCGACTGATGAGACTATACTGTTGAACGATCCGAGATGCTGCCTGCGTTATATAGGCGCAAACCGGATCCATTATCATTGCACTCTAAAACAAAACGCTCATTTTCGCCTCTGAAATAAGAAAGAGAATCTCTGAGATTTTAATATATGTATTTAGCTTTATATTCCTAAGCTTCGTGTTCACCGCAAGTTTGATATCCAAACATGTCCAAACCAAACAAACCGTCCAAAACTAAAGCGCCCGCATTTTCAAAGCTTAAAATTTCTTTTAGTTCTTCTATTATATTGTTCTTTCAGCATTTCCATGTGTAAATGCAGGTGCAGTGACAAAATACGAGTTTGTTTAACGAGTGTGTTATGTAAATCGAAGTTTTATTTTCGACGCAGAAATATTAAGTAATTTGATGATTGGGGGATATTCCGAGAGCACCTAATTTTTGCAGGACTGCTCGCATTGCTCCTTGGAATCGAATCTGTTATTGTTTCCCCTGCAACCAGTGTAATAAAATTCGATGCACTCATTAGTATCCTGGCGATAGGTCCAGTTCAAAATTCGCCCACGACAAACTCCAACTACACCGAGCTCTTCGGCGCAAATTGCTAAAAATAAGTAGCATATAAAATATTATTTTTATTCAACCCAAACCTAAAGAGGTTAAATGTTTAAACAACATTTTTCCTTTGAAACTTTACCGATTCCTTATAAAAGTAATTAAAAAATTTTAATTTCAAATACTTACGATTTTTAACCTGGGCCATGGCAACTCCCAAAAGACAACAGAGCAGCGCAAAAACAGCGAAATACTTCATATTGATTTTAATATTGTTTTCGTTAATAAAATGTCAACCGCGACTGACGAGACTAAACTGCTGAACAACCGAGATGCTGCGTGCGTTTTATAGGCCCAAATCGTCTCGCTTATCAGTCGACGAGAGTTGAGGGTTAAGGCTTAGCTAATCGATCGTTGAGAATGAACAGTTAAGGCTAAGCTCGACTTGATTACACATTTAATAACCAAACTCCTATTTTCGACTTTGAAACGAGAAAGTAAATCTCTGATGTTAGCATATATGTGTTTTAATATATTTATTTAGGTATACCTTTGGTAATATTATTAGTAAATATTTTTTTACTTTCTACTTGCAGCAACTGCGGCTTTCGCCCGGTTCTGAGTGAGCAGAGCGCCGTGGCAGCAGCGGCGGCGGCAGCGGCGGCCCAGCGGAGCGCCAACCACCCACCGCTCTTCCTACCGCCCCACCTGGCCGCCCAGTTCACCCATCAGCCGCTTTTCCCGGGACTAAAAGGTGAGTCGCAACACACCCCCAGCCAATCGATCAGTGACAAAATCAATCCAAATCACTTTGGCCTAATCAAATTATCTGGAGTGGGCCGAAAGCAACAGATGCTTCTCGTTAAAGATAAATCAAAATCAAATCTTTGTCCTGACCAAATTTAAAATTAATAATCAAATTAGGAAATATATTTGGCTGGGTTCTATTTGCAAGCGCGATATTAATAATTAATTAAGCCAATAAAGGCCAATGCCAGAGATTGAATTTGAATAAATTGTATGATTTATACTTACCACAAATATTTGTAAATTACTTGTAGATTATTCAGGCAGTTTTGTTGATTAAAATGGTTATGCAATTTTAATATGCAACGTTACAAGCTGCCCTTAGCCTATTTAAATAAAATTAAAGAAAGGAAATTCATTGGATTATGAAGAAAATGCTTTTAATCGACCTTTTTTTAATCACAAATTTCTTGCTTACTCCATTTCAGGTGTATCCCCTTTCCAGAGCCTGTGCTCCTGCTGCTCCCTGAAACCCCCGCCGCCACCGGGCTCCTCGGTGGTGGCTCCCTTGAGCATCCCGGTGAGCAGCAGTTCGGCGGCCAGTTCGCCGGAGTCGCCCAAGTCCTCCGGCCAGGGATCTGGACACGATCCCAGGTCCAACTCGGTGGCCGAACTGCGGCGGAAGGCGCAGGAACACTCGGCGGCACTTTTGCAATCCCTTCATGCGGCAGCTGCTGCAGGATTGGCTTTTCCGGGACTCCACCTGCCGCCCCTCTCCTTCGCCCACCACCCAGCCCTGGGGCAGCATGTGGTCAACCACAACAACAACACGATGCGGATGAAGCACGAGGCGCAGGACATGACCATGAATGGCTTGGGACCGGGATCAGGATCAGGATCGGGATCGGGAGTTTCGATGCCGGGAGGCAGTTCCTCGGCTGCCCTTTTGGACCTCGCCGAATCGGCTGTGGCATATCAACAGCAACAACAGCAACATGCCACATTGTCGCCCCCAACCACGCCCACTCAGCAGTCCTCGGGGGGCGTGGCCGCAGCCGAAGGCTCTCCAGGATCAGGAGCCATCTCGGGATCGGGTTCGTTAAATGGCAATGCGGTGCTAACAAAAATGGAATAAGGTAGAAAATCAAATCAGATTGTGCAATGAAAGCTTCATAAAAAGGGCCTGGCGGGGTATTTTGTTTCTCAGATTTCTAAATTTGTACAAATTTAGGGCAAGCATACACCCATATTCCCCATTTCTTTAGGACTCGAAATAAAATCTGTATAATAAAATACCCAAGCCAGCCCGTTTGTAACAATAAACATTTAAAAGTTAAATGGTAGACTAAGCCCTAGCTTAACTTTAATTTAATCAAGCAAGCAAAAATACACACAAGAAAAAAAGAAAAAAAACAGCAGCACTCTTTAATAAAAAATATATATATATTAGAAATATAGTTAGCTGTTGCTGGATTTGGCAGATAAGACGAGAAAAGATAACCCCTGATTGAACCCAACATAATCAGCAACAGCCGAAGACAATTCCAATGACTAACAATATCAATTAACACGCAAATGCATATGAACAATATTTACAACAAAAATACAACATATATACAAAATTATAAACTAATACAGAATATAGAGATAGCCAACAAATCGGACATATATAGCCTAGCCTAATCACACTGAATCGGACACTAACTACAGTAAGCGCCAAACCAATATTAATTAATATTAAACGAGTTAATAAAGAAAACAATAAAGATGATCACATTAGGATAACAAAAACAGAGTTTTAACTTTATTTATGGGTGGGTTATTAATTTAATTAGGACTTAATTTTTGCAGGTCTTTTCGCACTGCCCCTTGTTCTCGAATAGGTTGTTGTTTCCATGGCAGCCAGAGTAGTTGAACTTGATGCACTCGTTCGTGTCCCGGCGATAAGTCCACTTGTCCTGCAGCGACCTGCAGTCTCCGATTTTACCGAACTCCTCGCCACAGATTGCTGGAAAGTAAATTGAAATAATATTTTATTATTTAAGTTTAATTAAGGAAAATATGTGCCTCAGAATAAAACTACATCCATGAAGCTTTCAAACTTTTGTATAATATAGTATTTAATTTTTTTAAACTCGGGATTTTTTACTATTGTTAAAATTGTTGTACAAGTGACTTGTACCTATTTCGACCATATTACCACGCGGAATATCCATTTAAAAAGTCTACATTAAAACTACTAAATCTTACAAACGGAAAGCACGATTTACAAAATTCAAAAGCAATTGGATGAGTATATTGAACCTTTGTTTGAGTAAATAATAAGCAATAAAAAATACAAAAACTATATATATGAAACTATAAAGTGGAATATTCCAGCAGCTCTTTTTCACAATTTCTTTAAAAAACTTACGATTTTTGAGCGCCGCCAAGGCGGTTCCCAAAAGGCAGCAGATCAGTGCGAAAACGGCAAAGTATTTCATCTTGATTTCGGTTGGCACTACTGAGATCTCGATCGCGACTGACGGAACTAAACTGTTTAACGATCCGAGATGCTGGCTGTGTTATATAGGCCCAAAACCGGATCGCTTATCAATCGACGAGGGTCAACCGCGATTTCTGTTTGAGTTTTTCAAGCACTGACAAAAACAACAAACCTTGATATTATAGTTCAGTTCTTTTTTATTGTTTGTTTGGGTTGAAATTTTGCAAAACAAGATTGCCGGTTATTTGTTTTGCTTAAAACAGTGGGTTTTGCCCGAAGGTGTGTGAATTTTTTCAGTCCTTGCAGGCCTTTTCGCATTCATCTCGGGAGGAGAACTGATTGGAGTTCCCGCCGCAGCCACCAAAAACGAACTCCGAACAGGCGTTTTTGGAGGCATCATAGGTCCAGGCCGGCATAAAAGCCATGCAGGCAGCTCCATCCTGGGCCATGCCCACCATCGAAGGCGCCTGCTGGCACATCTCTGAAGGGATTGGGAATCACTCGTGGATTTCTGATCCGCATCTATTAGATCTCCACTTACCCGGCTTGGCCTGGACCCAAAAACGATTGCTGGAGAGGCTCAGCAGGATGGCAATGGCAACCACTCCAAGATACTTCATTTTTAATGCAACTCCAGTTAAACTCTGGTTCTCCAGTCTGGCCAACTACTCATTTTTATAGTGTCTTACATATAGAAATCGGGAGAGGAATAGCTTTCGCTTATATAGCAGGTCAGCGGATCCCGACTCTATATAGAATGTCTGGAGATAGCAGGGAACTAGCACATTCCGTCGTTTGCTTATAAAAAAATAAATAAGAATATTTTAATATATGTCAGGATGGTTTTGACATCTGTTACTATCAATCTTAGATTGCGTCATCTTTACGTTTTAATAGCTGTCTCATATCAGGAAAAAATCAGTTTTTGCACAAAAGTAAAGAAATTGTATTGGCATCAGCTTTTGGAACCATTCAACTATTCCAAAGTCTTTTTAAGGTTGCGTTTCACCATGTACAATACATAAGAACCATAAAATAACTTTTAAAATAATACTCAGTTTACTCAGTTATTATCTAGGTACTTGTCTTATTACAAAATATTATTTAATTTAATTCTTTTATTTTATTCAACACAAGTGTCTTCGCATTCCTTTTTAGAATCGAAATTATTTTTATTACCACCGCAACCTCCGTAGGTAAAGTCGGCGCACCCGTTGAAAACGGAAACGTAGGACCAGCGGGGAAGAACGGCATAGCAAGTAAATGAACCACTGCCATCCTCAAAGGGAAAATCGTAACATATTTCTATAAAAATAACATTTGTACAATAGAGAACGCCATTTACCATTTTTCTGAGCCAGAGAATTTGCCACAAAGGCGACAAACACAGCCAAAAACATCAGATTCATACTGAAGACTGAAGGAAACTGAAGTTGAAAGTATTTTCATTCTAATCATTAATACAACTCATATAAAAACATTTATTGCAAACAATAAAAACATTAGTTTTTATTTTATACAAAATTATTTGCAAACACGTCTTAGGTTTACTTTTCTTTGAACCAAATCTGTGTATGAATTTTACAATTTGGTTTAATAAATAAACTTAAATATAAGCAAAGAAAAATAAAAAACATTGAACTTGATTTTTATTCCCTATAATTTTTTTCCAAACACTTACTTTCGCATTCTTCTTTTGTAGTAAAGTTATTATCATTACCCCCACAACCACCGTAGTCATATTCAACGCATATATTTTTTCTCGAGATATACGACCAATTGCGATTTAATGCCAGACACCCAGTTATACCATCTCCATCCTATGAGTGGGGTAAACCACAGATTTCTATTAAAATGAAGGTACGAACAATTAAGAACGATCAAAAGGGTATATATAAATTACAGAGCCATAGAATCGACCACAAAGGTGACAAACACAAAAATCACGAAATCCAACTTCATGGTGGAAAATATTTACAACTTCCAGGTGACGTAGACAAATGGAATCTTTAGCTGAAACAACCTGTGTCGAGTACTTTACACCCAGATCAGCTCATCAAAAATTATAATGGCAAATAATAAAAGACTTAAATTTGTTTTCATATTATACAAACTTATTTGCAAACACATTTCTTCCGAAGTTTTCTGTAAAACAAATATATTTTCCTACCGTACTTTTTTGTGTGTTTCCCAATACAATCCCACATTTCCAATACATTTTGTTTTACTTTTCATACAAATTTATTGCAAACATTTTTCTTCACAACTGTTCTGGGAGCCAAATCTGTTTTCATTGCCACCACAGCCTCCGTAGATGAATTCCACGCACTTATTATTACCAGCATCGTAAGACCAACTCGGGAAATATGCCTCGCAGGAGATTTTGCGTTCGATATCACCATCAATGGAATGGGGAAGACCACATATTTCTGAGTATTTTTAATAAATTTAATTTAGTTGAGTATAACCAAAGAAATATATGTAGAGTACCATTTTTTAGAGCCATAGCACTGGCTACAAAGGCGATGAACATAAAAAGGAGAATCAGCAGCTTCATGGTGCAAAATGGTTAGAACTTTCAGCACACTTTGACAGAAATAAACTGAATCTAAAACACTAGCGTCGTGATTTTTATACACTTTTCATTAGCTCATGAGCTTACTGCTTATCGCGAAAGCCCATGAAATATTTATATTATTGGTCAATAGAAAATAACAAACCTTGCATTGATTAATGTAAATATTCACATGACCTTACAATTTGTGCAGTTCTGGCTAATTATAATTAAAATATCTATTTTACAAGTTTATGGAAGCATTTTAAGTAACACAAGGAACTCACTAATATTATTTACCTGTTTTAATGCTGCTATACGTAAACAAACCTTAATTTCGACATCGAAAACATACCTCCTACACTTTCAAACACAACAGTGGAACTGATCCAAAAACAGGAGATAGTAAACACAATAAATATTTCTCTCTAATTAAAAATACGTGTTTTTGGCCTTTCGTTCACTACATTTTATTCCAAGCACTTGTCTTCACAATTTTCCTCTGAGTTGAATCGGTTGTCGTTGCCACCACAGCCTCCGTAGATAAATTTGATGCACTCGTTGTGGTTACTATCGTAGGACCAACTTGGGATGTAGGCCTCACAGGAGATTCTACCATCACCATTGCGGGAATGGGGCAGACCACAGATAGCTGGAATTATGCAATGATACATTGAGAACATTCAAAGTTTGATTATCACAAACCATTTTTCAGAGCCGATGCACTGGCCACAAAGGCGATAAACACAAAAACGAAGATCAGCAGCTTCATAATGGGGAATATTTTAGAACCTTCTGTTGGTTGAGATAAAAGCAAACTGAAGCTAAGCGACCAGAGTCGCGTAATTTATATTGTATTGAGCCTTTCATTGTATTGAACCTTCGTCTAATCGCCAAGCACCTTAAACATTGTGATTGTACGACAAACAAATCAAGCTGAAATATGGCTGGGAAATCTCCACAAAAATTCGCACCGATTTATGTAAATATTTGTGTCGGATTGTTTACTTTTCTCGGCTTCCCAGAACCCACTTTGTTTACCAGCCGCCAGAAAGGGACAGCCCCCCATTAGTAGGTACTACACTACACATTTTAATTGCATTATCGTATTCGAAATAAACAATGAGCCCGACAAACAAAGCGTGTCAACCAGTGTTGAAATGGTGCTGTAATTATGGAGTGGTTCCCTTATCGATAGGGAAATGGTTTTAACACACATTAGTGACAATGACGAAAACTCTTTGTAAAATATTTCACATGCTGCGTGAGTCATTGGATTACTTGTGATATATATCACAAAGAAACAAAAATTGTCGGCCTGAAGTGAAATTTTCATTCCTATAAATATTTAATTACTCCAAGTAAATGGTTTAATTACTTATTGCATCCATAATAACAGCTTGCTGAAACAATAATTCAATTAATCAATTTTCTAGGCAATTAGGGTTACATCTAAGGCAAAAATTGTAACTGCTGCTATAGTGATTTTCATATCTTAAATGTAAAACAGGTTTTCGGACCTTTTATTTCTTACTTTCATGTGAAATTAACATTAAAGTATAATTTTTTTAAAAACTTTTAAAAATCAAAGTACAACTTTATCTATCTAAAGTCTGTCAGAAGTTTAATATTTAAAAGATAACTTTTGATATTTTTTGTACAGTACAATTTTTTTAGTGAAATCTGTAAAAACAACAATTATTTTCGGAGTTGTACCAGTTTTATTTTGCTGTTTTAAGGGGTATGAATTCTTAAGAAAGAGACATACAAAAGTAGTTCACTATAAATTGTTCTTTTTATTGGATATTATTTTTAACAACATATTTATTCTTTGCACTTGTTCTCGCACTGCTCCTGGGTCGGGAATCTGTTATCATTACCACCGCAGCCGCCGTAGACGAAGGACTCGCAGGAATTGGACTCGGAATGGTAGCTGAAACTGGGCACAAAGGCGGCGCACTTGATGATACCATTGCCTTCAACTGCAGCAGGTTGTCCACAGATGGCTAATACACGGAAAATTAAATTAGAAGGGCTTCGACTCGTGTATGATTTTCTACTCACGGTCCTTGAGGCCCAAGGCAAGGCCCATCAGGGCGAAAATCAAACAGACAGCAGCAATGAACTTCATATTGATTTCGATGTGGAATACTTTCTATCGCAGCAGCTTCCGTGGAAAGACTAATGCCAATCGGAGGTCTAGCACTAGGTTATATACGGTGTGCCAATGGGAGCGGGAACTACAAATCGACTCGGGATCTTATCGACGTGCTCATGAACTTACGGTTCGTTAACAAGTGCTCGTGAAATTGGTGGCCAAACAGACGGGACTCTGTGTACTTTGTGTTTGTGTTGGAAATAAAGCCGGGGTCGCAAATAAGCCTAGGTTCTACGTTCTAAATAAAGTAAATTAATTCCCGGACTTATTGGTGATTCGAACGTGGGTTTGTCCAATTTTTTGAATTGAATTTCTGTTATCTATTAAAAGTATATAATGTATGTGCTCTATTACTCAGACCGGATTTTATTTAAAAAAAAAAAGTTTAAAAAAAACACAAAAAATTATATGGATGTTTCATGGAAATAGATTAGCCAAACTATATGGTAGATATGTTTTACGCCGATCTTATGTAACTGTAAATTGTTTGATTCCAAAGAGAAAGTAGTGTATTTTCTCTAAAGCCTACCTATAAGTACATCTGTATATACAGACAAATATGGTTTCTATAAATATCAGTTCCCTAAATAATGACTATTTAAGATGAATGGGTGCTGAGACTTACACGGATCTAAAAAAGTTTAGGAAAGCTTTTTTTCCACATTCCTAAATTTTTACAAATTTATTATAACCCTGTTCTGTAATTACTGTGTGTATAAACAATACAACTAATATCAAATAAATATAACTATGTTATACTGATTTATATGATAGTATATTTTATTTTTATTAAAAACAGAAAATCATTTCAGTTAAACACTAAACAGTATTTAAATGTGTTGCGGTTTTATTGGAGATGATGTCGGGTGATAAATAAATTACGAACTAAAGACTAGATAAAATCAAGCGGAAGTGCTAGTTTCGGTGGTCACGTCGCTGATTTGCTCGGTGGTGGAGGACTCCGAGATGGACTTCCCCAGGCAGGCCTGTTCGCACTGCTCCTTGGACTCGAAATTGTTCTTGTTGCCGGCACATCCGCCGTAGACGAACTCCTCGCAGGATTGGGTATCCACATTGTAGGCGTAGCGGTAGAACAGGGCGAAACAGCGGCCGGTTTCCTTGGGCTGGTGACAGTCCTCGGGAACCTTGAAGTCGGCCTCTGGCAGGGGCTTCGGAACCGCGGGATCCTCCGCCTTCTCGACCACCACATCCGAGGGAGCTGCCCGAATTCCGGCTGCCAGCAGCAGAACAGCCGCGATTGTGAAGAAACTGAAGCTATATCTGAAGCACATTTCGATTCCGTTGAGTGGCTGCAAATGATTTCAGATCGTTCGGGTAGTGAGGCTTAAATACTATCCGTACGAACTGATCCACTCACGTAGGCGAATCGTTCGGGTTTTTACCCACCGTTTTTGCCTCTTTCGGTGTACTTTATTTATCGGAGCGGGAGTGTTGGAGTGTTTGTCCAACTGATTCGACGTCGCATGTAAATCACGGCGGTGCCTCTGACGTCTATATCTGTATCTATATGTCTATATCCATGTCACCTGGCACCGTCAGCTCTCAGAAGCTATCGCAGGTCCAACCTTCGGTTGCAGTTCAACGCACCAGCTGACTCAATCATAATGCTGGCCATAAAATCATATTCCAGCTTGTTTCCGGATCGGAGGCATAGTTTTACAAACCACATCACGTTTATATGTCGGAATGGGAACCTTACTTAATTACCTATTAACTGGATAGCTAGCTAGCTAATAAAATTGTGTATGTGCCTGACTTTAGGATGGATCTAAATAAACAACAATTAACCTTAATCTATTGTGTAGAGAAATATAAATCGAATGTTAAACAGCTTCCATTTTTTATCACATTTTTGTGCTTATTTGTGCATCAAACAATTAAGCTATTTTCACCATTATGCCTTTTATTGGAACCAACTAGCGGTACCTGGTAATGTTATATAGTTAGTAGAAATATATATGCTTAAAAATGTATCAAGCGTGAAATCAAATATTTATAATCTTGACCTACGTTACCTATGTATGTAAAAAAATTCATTGAATGTCCTTTAATTTGTGGTTATATAGATAATCTTTATGTAAACCGAATAAATTTAAAGGAGCTTACAACATACTCTGAACATGTTACTAAACGTTAATTTTAGACATAAGAAGAAACAATTATATTTAAGTTCGTAATATATCTATGCAATCTATACAGCCATGTTCGCCATTATATGATCACTTTTTTGGTAGACAGGCCTCCTCGCAAGTTTGCCGGAATCCCCAACGATTATCGTTTCCCCGACATCCGCCATACTTAAAGGTCTCACACGCTTTTTTATCCTTGTTGTAGTAGTAACGCTCCAGATTCATCCGGCAAGGACCCACTTCCAAGGGCTGCAGACATTTAGGATCTACAAAATAAGGGTTCCGATTTAAGATAAAGATTGAAAACAAATCGACAACTTATACAAAGCCAATATGCTTAAAATAGGTTGAAGTATCTCTTTGTTATTAACGTAAATTAGTATATCATTCTAAACATATCGGGTTTTATAAAAGTGAAACTGTATAATCTTATAAAAACTAACCTGGTACTAATCTCTGTGGTTTAATTGTGGTTGTGGCAATTGCTGGCTTATTTCCTGTCGGATTTCCAGGCTGCACCTGAACCACGGGCTTCGGCTTGATATTATTGTTATTATTATTGGGTGTGGCCACTGCCTGCGTAAGTTGCATAAGACTTAGCAATAAAAGTGCTCCAAGGCAAAGAAACTGGGTCATCCGTAGTAGCATTTTGAGTGTGAAACCTGATAACTGGACGGTAAAAGCAGCGACTGTGAACTGAACTGAACCGAATGTTCTATATTCCAGTTCTATAAGCTGTGTTTGAGCCGACGAGTTGAGTTCAAATTAAATCACTTGCAGCTCTCTGCCCATCCATGTGTGAGTTTTTAGCTCGAATCGCGCATACGACGCGTTGAGCGTAGGCAAGATTAATTATCTCATTTACACAAAGAAAACAGTTCACACATAAATATTAATGTATAGACATACTCAAAGATGCTAGTAAAGATACTAGTAAAGGCACATAAAAACTAAGATTACTAAATAGAATTTAAATAAACTAAAAATATATATTTATTAACTTCTGAGAACTATGCGGCATTTAAAACATTTTGATTTTTAGACATAAGTTATATATAAAAGTACTTTTTACATGGTAGCTCTCACTACAAAAAAAAAACACTAAGCTTGAAATATTCTCTTATTTTATAAGAACTGTACCTGCAGGGTTATTTGAAATTAGACACAGGTTTTAAAGCAGTTCATTAAGATTTAGTAGCGTTCGTGTGTTTATTTCTTAAAGCTTAAATCTTCAGTAGATTCTAGTCAAGTAAAAGATATAGTTTATAACAAGGATATGATGATCGTTAGCTTTTTTAGTTTGCTTATTTCACTTGTTTGTTTTGCTAAGGGATTAGCAGAGGGTAAGAATGTATAATATTATGAAAAACCGATATCATGCTAAAAATAAGAATTGTTTCGGTTTCTTAGACGTCTGCCAACAAAAGCCTGGTGCTGATGGCTTTGGAAAAATTATGTCTTGTGCACATTATAATAATCGGTTTTCTTATCACCCTGACAAAAACGAATGTTTGGAATTCTCTTATGGCGGTTGTGGTGGCAACGATAATAGGTTTACAACTAAAAAGCTTTGTGAAGATGAGTGCAAGAAGAAATTAGTAAATAATTAAATTTGGACTAAAATATTTACGTACCTTACAATATTCCAGTTTATCATGAATGTTCCCACCAAAATACTATTGCGAAAACAATGGAATACCCTCATTTCATCAAAATCATTGCCTACTTTTTGATGGCCCCTTTATATTTGCTGGCAAATATTATAGCATCTTAGAAATATATCTTATATAGAAATATATAAAAAACAACTTCACATTTTTTTAAGTAACAAATATAATAATGAATCAATTTTGCATTTGGCATAACTAATTTAGTTGGATTTGGATAATACGGAGAACGTTTATAGGTGAATTTATTGTTCCACGTGGCTTAATTCACCACAGTTTATTGGGGAAATACTTCCATCAAGGATGAAATCAATATTCATTTGCGTTATAATTGCAATGTTGGGCTCAGCCCAACGAAGCTAGGAAAAACTGATTTCCGTTCAAGTGTTAAAATAGAGCTTAAAACAACATTTTTAATTGGCTGTCATTATATATTTTATTTACACATAATAAAAAAAGCAATTACACTTTTACATTTGTATTGCTTTGATACCTGTGATTCACAATGCACAGAGTTAGGTTTTACTACAAGTAAATTCTAAGGATTATAATAAATTAAGTGCATTGTATCGATTAAGTTCCATCTTTTTTTGCCCTTCTAGAAATCAAGAAAATCGCGAACCAAAATATAATGGAATGTGAAAGATAAATTTTATAGATATCTGAAATAATATATTCATAGGAAAATAAATCATTCTATATTTTTGGAATCAAAATAGAATAATTATATTGATTTTTACTGTAATTCATTTTTTAAATCATTTTTTATAAATTATATAATTAGGTTTTTAAATATCTGGATATTAATGACTAAAGCCAATTGTATTAGTAACGCATGTTAAATAAGCTCTATAAAAACCGCTTCCCCTTCATCTGGACTCTTAGTTGCTTAAAATCAACATTGAATTGGTTATTTTAAAAAATGAAGCCGATATTCATTGCTCTATTGATCACCCTATTTGGTTTTGCCATGGGTCTTAAAAATCGTGAGTGTTTAAATATAAACTCTTTAAATCTGTTAGTAAAATATTTTTTTATTTTAGCCGTCTGCGGTATGATTCCTTTATCCTATGGATATTGTTTTGGGACCGCTAAAGGATATACTTATGAATCTAGTTCAAATAAGTGTACTGAACGTTCCATCAAGTGCGCAGGAAGGCAAAATTTTTTTTATACATTAGCTGCATGTGAATCTAAATGCAAGGAATAATAAATTAATTATAATAAAAGTGGTGAATTTGTCCTTAATGTGTTCCATTTATTTCACAAGGATATCGGGATGTTTGAGTTAATATTTTTTCTCTATTTTTTGGATGAAGATAGAATAATTATCACTTTTTATAAATTATACAATTAAGTTTTTAATTTTATGGAGAAATAAGTGCTAGTAACGCATGTTAAATATGCTCTATAGAAACCGTTTTCCCATTTCGCCTGGATTCATAGTAACTTAAAATCAACTGTGAATTTTGTAGTTTTTCAAAATGAAACCGATGTTCATTGCTCTATTGATAGCCTTATTTGGTTTTGCCAAGGGCCCAAAAGATCGTCGGTGTTTAAGTATAAGCTCTTTTAATTTGTTATTAATTTATTTTTTATTCCAGCCGTTAGCGGCACGGAAGCTTCCATTGCATCGTGTTTTTATAAATTATATATTTAAATTTTCAAATTTCTGGATATTAATGACTAAAGCCAATAATATTATTAACGCATGTTAAATATGCTCTATATAGCGCTTAGGTGTTACCAATCATTTACTCAACTCTACTCGTAAGTTGAATTTGGCTTTTAAATCAGCTTTGTGTCAACAGTCGACCCAAGAAGATTTGTGTTAGACCTAATTGAATTAGAGACAGATGTACCTTAAATCTTATTTAAAATATAAGTAGCGTAAAGTCAAAACAATGGAATACCCTCATTTCGTCAAATTCATTGCCTACTTTTTGATGGCCCCTTTATATTTGCTGGCAAATATTATAGCATCTTAAATAACAAATATAATAATGAATCAATTTTGCATTTGGCATAACTAATTTAGTTGGATTTGGATAATACGGAGAACGTTTATAGGTGAATTTATTGTTCCACGTGGCTTAATTCACCTCAGTTTATTGGGGCAATACTTCCATCAAGGATGAAAGCAATATTCATTTGCGTTATAATTGCAATGTTGGGCTCAGCCCAGGGCTTTAAAGACAGTGAGCGCTGTAAGGAACGGTCAATCCGAATATACTTATTTCCTCTCTTCACAGGAATCTGCAATCTTGATCCGTTTGTGCAAGGACCATGTTTGGAAGTAATGACCCTGTATTCCTATTTGAGCGCAAGAAATGAATGCGTATTCTGGCAGGGCTGCTGGCTAAATGGTAATCAGTTCACCAACAAAACTGAATGCGAAGCCAAATGCAAGACTTCCTTTTTAAGATAATGTAATTTACGAAGCTAGGAAATACTGATTTCCGTTCAAGTGTTAAAATAGAGCTTTAAACAACATTTTTAATTGGCTGTCATTATATATTTTATTTACACATAATAAAAAAAAGCAATTACACTTTTACATTTGTATTGCTTTGATACCTGTGATTCACAATGCACAGAGTTAGATTTTACTACAAGTAAATTCTAAGGATTATAATAAATTAAGTGCATTGTATCGATTAAGTTCCATCTTTTTTTGCCCTTCTAGAAATCAAGAAAATCGCGAACCAAAATATAATGGAATGTGAAAGATAAACTTTATAGATATCTGAAATAATATATTCATAGGAAAATAAATCATTCTATATTTTTGGAATCAAAATAGAATAATTATATTGATTTTTACTGTATTTCATTTTTTAAATCATTTTCTATAAATTATATAACTAAGTTTTTAAATATCTGGATATTAATGACTAAAGCCAATTGTATTAGTAACGCATGTTAAATATGCTCTATAAAAACCGCTTACCACTTCATCTGGACTCTTAGTTGCTTAAAATCAACATTGAATTGGTTATTTTAAAAAATGAAACCGATATTCATTGCTCTATTGATCACCCTATTTGGTTTTGCCATGGGTCTTAAAAATCGTGAGTGTTTAAATATAAACTCTTTAAATCTGTTAGTAAAATATTTTTTTTATTTTAGCCGTCTGCGGTATGGCTCCTTTATCCTATGGATATTGTTTAATGACCCGTAAAGGATATACTTATCACTCTAGTTCAAATAAGTGTACTGAACTTTCCATCAAGTGCGCAGGAATGCGCAATTTTTTTTATACATTAGCTGCATGTGAATCTAAATGCAAAGAATAATAAATTAATTATAATAAAAGTGGTGAATTTGTCCTTAATGTGTTCCATTTATTTCACAAGGAAATCGGGATGTTTGAGTTAATATTTTTTCTCTGTTTTTGGATGAAGATAGAATAAGTATCACTTTTTATATATTATACAATTAAGTTTTTAGTTTTATGGAGAAATAAGTGCTAGTAGCGCATGTTAAATATGCTCTATAGAAACCGTTTTCCCATTTCGCCTGGATTCATAGTAACTTAAAATCAACTGTGAATTTTGTAGTTTTTCAAAATGAAACCGATGTTCATTGCTCTATTGATAGCCTTATTTGGTTTTGCCAAGGGCCCAAAAGATCGTCGGTGTTTAAGTATAAGCTCTTTTAATTTGTTATTAATTTATTTTTTATTCCAGCCGTTTGCGGTACGGAAGCTTCCATTGCATCGTGTTTTTATAAATTATATATTTAAATTTTCAAATTTCTGGATATTAATGACTAAAGCCAATAATATTAGTAACGCATGTTAAATATGCTCTATATAGCGCATAGGTGTTACCAAACATTTACTCAACTCTACTCGTAAGTTTAATTTCGTTTTTAAATCAGCTTTGTGTCAACAGTCGACCCAAGAAGATTTGTGTTAGAACTAATTGAATTAGAGACAGATGTACCTTAAATCTTATTTAAAATATAAGTAGCGTAAAGTCAAAATAAAGGAACAGTATTTGTTTATTTATTTGAAGATGAGAACGATTCATTTTGTACTTTTATTAAGTTATATCCTCGGGGCGATTGCAAAAAAATCTCTGAAAAGCCGTAAGTTTTAAGAAATAAAGACTCTTTTTTTTTATATTATTATTTAATTTAGCAATCTGTGGCATAAAAGCATCTTTCGTTGGAAAATGTAAGGGCTTTGCTTACATACCGCACAAGAACAGATGTGTTAGTGTATCTGGAAACTGCTCAGGAAAGGGGAATTTTTTTAAACACTCAAGATCCTGCGCAGCGAGATGCGTGTTACAATGAAAATATTCACAAAAGTAATGAATAAAGACAGAAATGACAGCTACTTAATTGATGTTGATGGGATATAGTGTCTTTTAAAAACGTACACCATTGGTCTAGCTCCTTAAATCGTATAAATACAGATACAAATTTCAGCTGCCCATGTGGCAATCCAAACTGAGCTATGAACTGCAAGCAATTTGCATAATAAATGTGAGTGTCAGGGCCATTTTCCAGAGGCAGATATTATTATTATGATTATGTGCGAATGCGAATGGCACTTTGAGGAGCTCATTAAAGTTGCATTGTGTGCTGACAGGATGGGAAAGGACTAAAGTCCTTGGCAAGGACGATAATTAGAGCCACATTAGGGCCGGAATGCTGGACAAGACAAGATGGTCAGCAGGAGAAGCCCAAGCAGAACCGATCCCAGGTGTTAATTCGCAGTGCAAATTGAATTATCGCTCGGCGATGATGATGTAACGATGATTCCCATGCTCGAGGTCCTCGAGGAGTTGGGGGCCTGTCAAACTGCCGTGCTATTTATTCATTAGCCCAATCGCACACACGTGAGAGGGTCGAACATTTCGGGCCCGATTGAGTGGCCAAAATGCCAGGTGTGCGGGGTGACAATTCAGTTAACTGTTTAATTTGCTTGAAATAATTGAGCACCAGACGTTAATTGTCCCTCGTTCTCAGCTGCGTTTAATTACCAAATTAGTGACATAGCTGTGGAGTTTGATGTTACTCAAAAGTCACTATTAATTATGGAAAATAAATTCAGTTTTGGATGCAGTAGCACAGTCTTTAAATTGTAAAATATATTTTATAAGGCATACAAATTTAAATTTAATGGCATAAATATGAGATAAAGCCATACAAAATTGCATTAGACTCAGCTATTTATATTTGGATTTATAAATAAAAGTTGTTAGCTTAAAAAATGTAGTGCGTTGATTATTTTCAAGGACTGAAGCTTCAAAACACGACCTACTATGCAGATTTTGTGTGTGACCTGTTTATTTGTAGCCTTACTTGGCTGTGTCATGGGAGCAAATGGTAAGTACTTGAATATTAAAAGTATTACAATATTTCTAATCGGCTTTAAATATTTTTCATTAGTTCGCTGTGGACAAAAAGGTGGAGTGTCAGGAGCCTGTAACAAGATGATTAAGGGGTATATGTATAGTGCGCCGAAGAAAAGTTGCTTTTCCATGGTTCTTAGAGGCTGTGCAACTCAGGGAAAATTCTTCGACACCAAGACCGACTGCGAAGAATGCCTGACATTTTAATAAATAAATGATGTATATTTGTTTCAAATAGTATGTTACTTTCATTTTAATACTTATGGGTATTCTAGTGGTAAGTTGAAAGCGAAACTTTAGTTGAAATTGAAATCGCGTTTCTGGTTGTCAATCTATACACTTCACACACTGGTAGTTGATTTTTAAGTATTGCCAGAGCCGCTTCGTTGTTGTTGTTGCGGTATTGATATGCGGAACATGTTTTTGTTGCCTTCTGCCAAGTGTTTTTTACGTCATCTCCGCGAGTGTGTTTTTTATACAAGAGCGGGTGTAGGGTATCCCACGGGAGGTTCGATTTTTGCACTCAACGTGGGTTTTATAGGTAACGAGTTGAGTTCGGAAAAGATTATTAAGTTTAAATGTTACAAAAGGTGTTTTTACTTAGATGATTTTTTTAAAAAATAATTAGCAAATATAGTTGTGAATCTATTAGGTTTTATGGAATTATTTAATTGCAGGCTTACATTTTGTATCCCTACGAGTGCTTTAAATCTATATAAATATTTAAAATAAAAACAAAATAATAATGGTAAGAGGTAGGTAACTCCTCTTCTGTTATGGCCCAACCAAGTCCCACCTGTTAACTTGGTCAATGTTGAATATTGGCAAAACCAAAACAAAAAACGGGTATGAGCATTTGAAGGCATTTGTAAACACAGAAATCAATGCTGAGAGCCCGGTTCAGTGAGTTGTTGGCCCAAGAACGTGACGGTTGATTTGTATAGGCGGAAGACGAGTGGATCTGTGATCGCTGATCGCTAACTCTAGATGAAATGATGCCGGCTCTTTGGCAGTGGCTTCTTTTGGGCCTCCTTCTGCTAATACCACACCATTCGGGTGCGGCCTCCAAGAGAGGTAATTCCACCCATTGAAAGCCTTCGCGCCACTAATCAGTGATATCTTTCAAGTGAAACTGTGTCTCCAGCCGATGATCAGTGGCCGGTGCTTTGGGTATGTGGAGAGCTTTGCCTACAACCCCATAAAGCGTCATTGCGAACCCTTCATCTACGGCGGATGTGGCGGTAATGACAACCGATTCAGTACCAAAGCCGAGTGCGAGTTCAACTGCCGTGATATTTAGAAATGTCAACCGAAATGTCAATTTCTTTACCCAAATCAACAAAAGTTACGAACAAATATGTTTAAGTGAAATAAAAATATATATACGAACTGATGTTTATATTACATAATATACATTCAATGTTGCATTACTGAGATAACGTCTTAGATAAGTAGTTCGTTGGTTTGAATTAATCGTATGTATTTTAATACTTAAAATCAAGTTATGCTGCAAAAGTTAAATTTACAAGTTTGAATATCAAGCTAAAGTTAAATTAAAAACTAAAAAAATATCCTTAAATTTTAAGTTCCGTTTAAATGTAGAAGAATTGTAGATATATATAATATATAAACGGAGCGAACACATGCTTGCTGCTTAACAAAGGGTATGCAAGGTAGTTATAAAAAACTCCAGTTCTACACTCAAATTTGCAAGCTTGGTTCATTTTAAACTCAGTCAGAATATTTTTCAAGCATATTTAAAATTAACAACAGTTCCCTATGTTTCTATATTGTGTTTTCAATGCGAAGTTTCGTTGGCCTTTGCTTGGTTGCGGCGCTTCACGTGTCGCGGATTGTTGCAAATCTTGTCGCAATCTTCCAGACTTCCAAAGAGTCTTCTGTTGCTGCAGCCCTTGTATTGACAACGTTGCAACTCAGGATCGTAATAGATTCCCACGGTAGTAGGTCCACAGACTCCATTAGTGCTCGGCACCATCTGGCACAGATCTCCTGGAAAGCGAAAGTAAAAATAGGTATAAGTATTTACTAACAAATTTATCTATCGGGGTAAAAGACCCATAAATACCGCTTTCAATATGCTTGTAGTTATAGTTTTGTCACAAAAAAGATTTAATTACTCATTCTTCTTATTGTGCATTATGTGTCATTTTCAGTTATAATATTCGTATTCTTTGGAATTATAAAAAATTTATCAATTCTGTCTAAAAAAATAAGTGTTATGCATTTCTTTGTAGTTATTGTATACATTTTTCGAAAATATTATTAGTCATTTTTATTTTAAGCTTTTAAGGAGTTAGAATTCTTTATTAAAATTAAAAATTTCCGAAAATATACCATAAGTAAATTTTCAAATAATGTGAGCAGAAGAAAAATAAATGTTTATTATAAAAGGAACCTAATATTGCTATAATGTTGTGATTACTGAGTACAATATAATATATCCTAATGGTGTTATGTGTAAGAATAACAGAAAAGTTGTGAGGTCTAAAGTTTAAGCACCTTTTTTTTTAAGTGATTGAATCTTCTACTGGAGTCATTGTCCTACGGATTTTGGCATTGAAAGGTTGAACAACAAGATTTGATAAGGAATTTTCAATTTAAATTAAATCAAATTAAATTTTCTTCAAAGAGGTATACAATACAATCTATTAATTTTTCTTTAGTACTTACGCACGCGAGCCTCTGCGGTGAATTGTTGATCCAGGATTATGGTTAAAACCACACAGAGCCAAACGGTTATTCTCAACTGACTGTGGGAGGCCATTTTTTTAGAATTTAAGATGACAGTTCCGCTGGATTATCCTCGATATCTCCTCAAGTTGGTCAGCTCCGTATTGCAGTTCTACTTTGCTCCCTGGCACCGATGATGTCAATCTGGTTCAGGACAAACACAAATGCGCAGCAGCCGCTCGTCGCCATATATAAGAGGCAGTACGGAATGTGTCCGATTCCACAGTGATTGAAAGCCTCTAGTATATAGATGATCGGCCGATCCGTCTGCTTCTCTACTTTTTTACTTGCTTCTTTACTCTGCTATATTTTATGGGTTTTTTAATCTAGAGTGCAAGAGCCCAGCCGAAAAAAAGCGATCGATTCTTTGTTGCAGTTGTTGCCAATTCCTGATGCAGATAGGGAATACTCCAGTATACAGGGTTCTAATGCTTCTTTCCTTGGACTTTGTCAGCGCAATTTTCAAAATAATGTTTAATGGCAGAAGAAACGGATTTGGTTCACCACACACTTGGTCACTGACTAAACGGCGAGTCGCGAACTCGACTTGAAACCTCGAACAAAAGGCATCCAGGGCACACATTTGTAATCGGACTGCCTCTGCCAACAGCTCTGCTGCTATTTGGATTCTGATGAGAGGAAAAAATATTTACACTGGGAAGAATGATGTTCAAATCTGTTTAAGATAGGTAATCTTTTCTAGTTTAGGAAAAGGGTTTTATAAATAATTCTTATTGTATAAATGTTATTTAATATGTTATATATATAAACCTTTGTTGTTTAAAAAAATATAAACCATTTCTTACACAATCTTTCAACAATGTTTTTTTTAAAACACATCCAAATTAATTTTTGAGATAGTAACAATTTTGTATGCCTTGATTTTCCTCAAGATTAATCTAATGCTAAGCTAAATTAAATATTCGCTGTGTGTATCGTTTGATAAGACTTCAATCGTCTCGCTGCGATTTAGCATGAGAGATCGATGATGATGGGGGATGGTGATCATTCTGGGGGTTGTCTCTCCCCCGATTCCGGCTAAATCCGGCGAGTGCCTGTTGCAGAAGGCTAGGACGAGCGGAGAATTGAGATAACGCCTGGTACGGCCATCGTGACGTATACGCAACGAACTGCGGATGCCCTGAGAAAATAGTTCATAGCGTAATCATTCGCGTCATCTACTTCAATGACATTTAATTGGAGTGATATATTGAGGTGAAACTAACGAACAGTGTTGTTTGCCGGGCTTATTATTTGTGTACGCTTGATAATTCGAATAACATTTATATATTAAACATTATTTTATTTACCAATAAAATTATTATTTACCAATAAAAAATATTTCTACCGGTTACATACATCATTCTTTCAATTTCTAATGAAAGTGTAAGGCCATCCGAGCTTTGTGACTAACCCATAGGCCTCGTTCTTTGTAGGGCAACAGGAGATTATGCTAGCGAAGCGACGTCTCAATGTTCAACTAAGTAGCTCCAACAGCCAACAGGCCATAATCATAGACTTCTCACACGTTTCGATAGTGCGACAAAGAAATAACAATTACGTCACGGGTCAACGGGGCGGATGATTGACATCCAGCTGAGATTAAGCATTTCGACGCAATTTGTTTGCTGTTTGATTTGATCAACTCTTACCGAATCAAACTCATTCATTCATTCATGGGTACATTTGTTTACGAATTTATTTATGTTACGCGTTCACATAATAGTCATGATTCCGACTGCGCCCATGGATACAGGTGGAGATGCAGTCCTGCAGGCTCCCAAAACTCTGGCCACGGATCAAATGACACGCCCCTATCTTATATATCTTGCAGTCCAGTTCACTCGGATCGTAGTAGTATCCCTCGATATCGATGGCGCAAACTCCCTCGGAACGTGGCGGCGGCTTTTTGCAAATACCTGGGAATAGAAATAGAACACAGGGGTGTTACATCTGTTTCTGCTCGAGGAAAATGTATATGGATCTCAGAAATAAGTATAAGTATTTTATTTGCATTTTACTTAACAAAGGAAAATCTTCTTGCTTAGCAACACTTTCAATACCAAATCAGCTTATTATTAAACTGATTAATTAATTAGACGTCGGATTGTATTTAAAATCATTTCAAAAACATGCGTTTGGTTTCATTTTTGTATAAAACCATTATCGTATCAATTATATTAAAAATATGATAGACAATATAGTTCATAATTATTTCACTTATAATCCCACGTCTATAAATAAGCACTAGTTTCATCGCCAAAATCTGAGATTTACGGGTATACTCGCAATCCCTCTAGATTTCTGTGACACCCCAGTCAAAGTGGCTACTCACTGGGTATCGAAGGCACACCGGAGGCCACGAATCGAGCATCTGTGCGGTGGTGGTGGTGGATCAGCATCAAGAGCACCACCGGCAGTAGCGATAGCACCACCGTCGCGGGTTTAAGTCGAGACATCTGGACGGGCGGCGGGCAACTGAGTAAGCGAGGCACTCGGGAACACTTTCCGAGCTCAACCCATGCTCATCGGAACCCGCGATAAGGAAAGCACAGCAAACTACAATCTCGTGTATTACAATTTAAAGGCCTGCACGAGTGGGGTAATGGTTATCTTTGTTTTCAGAACGCCACTTGATCTATTTGAGTTTTCAAATCCCGTTTTATAAGAATGTTTAACGTGGGTCAAAGTTTCCTCATGAGTTACTTCATAAATAATAAAAAAAAAATTTTCCGATGAATCAAAGAAATAGCTGTTGCAAGCCCTTTTTAGAAATTCTAAGAATATTCATACCGCTTTTCGAAGAACGAAACCTAGTTAACAATATTTTAAATCCATTTTATATATATGTTGAACTGATACCAACAAGACGGAAGCGAAATTTAAAACATATGTACACAACAGTCCAGATAAATTATTTCAAAATTAAATGCGATAAGGGGGCATCGTTCCAAGTTTACTTACAGTACATTTATTAATACAACAGCTTTTTGCTTATAAAATTAAATTTTTTTAATTGTACATTTTTAAATAAATTAAGTGACGGACTTAAGTTGGCTAAAGCAGTTCGTGTATGTGAACATCCTTGCGGACGGCATTGTTGAAGCCCTCCTTATAGCGATACCAAATGGGGCTCTTCACGATGGCATCGGTTTTTGCTGGTAAAAATTACTCATGGATAAAAAGGAACATACATAAAAGATTTAAAGCACTTACCATCCTCTACTGAATTTTTGGAACTTGATTTGTGAGTGATCCGACCAAAGAAGTCCTTGGTGAGCTGAAAATAAAATAGGTACATATGCAAATTAACATTTAAAATACAAAGTAAGTAAATATTTGTTAGTGTCCAAAAATACTTATAAAAAATGTGTCTGGGCAAAGAAAAGGAAAACGAAGAAAATACCCCCATTAACTTAGGAATAAGAAAGCTGTTTCAGTCGCTTTCGCTTAGGATGGCCAATAAATGTTCGTTTGCGCTGATCCCACATTACGACTCCAATGACAATACCACTGGAATCCCCTTATGGGTTATTAGCTTTTCGGGGATTTGCCAGGAGAAAAAGAGCTTTGGCAAAGGAAAACCATTTTGGGGATGAGGAAAATAAACTCAGGTGAGTGCATCCGCAGCATATACTCGTTTTCGTTGAGTGATGAAAATTTGCAAGTAAATTGCTGCTAAGTAAATGCAAGGCATGCAAATCCTCGTAAACTCACCTGCTGTTTGGGTGCACTGTGCACATTGGGCGCCGAAATTGGTTTCGGCTTCAATGTTTGCAAATGATTGGGCAGCTGAGCTGCAGCAGCCGAGGATTTCTTCTTGGCTGCTGAGGGGGCTGAAGGTGCACCACCCTTGGGGGCAGCTCGCCGGATTCTCTCCAGGTCCACCTCGCGGGCTATCAGCTGGCGACTGAAGTAGGGAAGCGACAGGCCAGTAAAACCTAAAGAATATATATTAGCCTTCAATTGGATTTGGAACCTATATCATAGACCCACCTGGAAAAGCACTGAGTGCATCCAGATCGGGCTCTGTTTGGAAGACATAGTGGCCTTCCTGGGACTTGACCTGCACGAAAGTCAGGCCGAGATCAACCATCACCTCGATGGTGTGCCGTAGGTCCTGCTGCTCCCTGAAATGAATTTAGATGGGATGTATACAGATGCAGTAGGGTATTCAGGTCTACTTACTTCAGAGACAGCAGCTGCACCGCCACGGAGCGCAACTGGGGCGACAGAATCCTCTTTAGCAGCGGCACCGTGTCCAGGAGCAGCGTCTTGCCCTGACCCACGCCCAAAGCCGAGGTGGTGACACCCTTGCACAGGGCCTGGAAGATGTTCCTCTGATTGGTGCTCTTCTGCTGGAGCTGCAAGCACAGAAACAAAGGGGGTTGGTCCGTGGGCAAACACTGCTCAAATCTATGCAGGAGTCTCATTAATCTTGTGATTGCATTTGAGGCACATAATGGACAAGAAATTACATGGCTTGATTGTGTTGATTATGCACTTTCCACAGGCCTTTGGCCGGGGATGTTTGCCCCGGCTAATGACGCCTGCATAAATCATGAGCCTGCCTCAAAGAAGCAGCCTCGCTGCGATGAAAAGAAATAATGTGGCCCGGGGCCATCATCTCATCGTCATCGGCATCCTCATCGCCATCGCCATGGTTTCTTTTCCAGGACCTCACCTCAAAGCCACGCGTGGGAAATGCAATTTTCGGCCAGGCCAGTGTGGCGAACAGCAGGTGCCAGACGACAAAGCCGTACTGCAGGTACGGGTACACACTGTAGTTCTGCTGTCTGCTAATCTGATGCTGCACCGTATCCGTGAAGCAGAACCATTTGAGGGCATCGCACACGCCCGTAAAGTTCGGATCGGGCATCTTCTGCTGCAGGTAGTTCTCGTAAACGCCCTGGGTTAGTCTGCAGAGTCGAGGGAAATTATAAATTAAGAAATCGAAAATTATATTTGAAATTTCTAAATTGTAAAATATAATACTGACACAATTACAATTAACACAAAAAATTAAAGCTATGCAAAATAAAAATTAAAAAAACATTGTATCATTAAAAAGTCATTTTAGCTTTCAATTTTAGTACTTGAAAATGTTTTTCTATTATAATGGCTTGTTCCTGAAATCCTTATAAAAAGTATGCTTACCTTTCGTAGTCCCCACTGGAGTGGACAACATCTAAAACATTGCGAACTCGTGTGGTTACCGACATATTGGTCATTGTGACCTGGCCGGGTTCATCCATCTTATTGGCGTCTGTTTGCAGGGTTTTACGTGGACGTTGGATCTTTAAAAAAAAATATATATATATATATATTTAGGAGTTATTAAAGTAACAAATAAAAGAAAAACCCACTCGGAAAATAGCATCCCACACAGCGAAAAGTCCCTGATGTCTGTCTTTTTGTCCCAGGTTATTATTGAGCACATCTTGCAGGGTCAAACTGTGTTTTTGGGCACTAGGGAAGGAAAAGGTCTTAGTTTAGCAAATAATAAATATTTTCCAAATTCTAACTTGAAAAACTGCATGGAGGATATACAGCTTCTGACATCATTTCCAGATTTCTCAGCCAAGGCAATCAGTGAACCAAAATCTGTCTTTAGCTGCTCTCTGTGGGCAATCTTAACCAACCTGAAATGAAAGTTAAAAAATCTTCGGAATAAATATATATTTTTTTATATATAAATATAATATACCTTTCCGCCAGACGCGCAGCATCGATGGGCGGAAAGGTGACCACGAAGGCCACTTGTCTTAGGGGACGCAGGGCGGGATCGTAGACATCGTTGCAGATGCAGATGATGGGTCGCTTTAGGACGTTGTGCTCCGCCTTGGCGCCCTTGGCTTTTACTTTGTTGTAGATCCCATCGCTGATGAATTTGACCAGATACTCGATGGACTGCCGGGGAGCGCCATCGATTTCATCTAAGGTGAAAGGTATATTATACACATTTATAATTTAAAAGCTGCTTTCCCACCTAGAACTATGCAGTTGGGTCTCTTGTCTGCATTCAGCACCGAAGACATTTGTGTGCCATTCTCCAGGGCCAGTTTAAAGGCCTCTGGACTGCGATCATCGGAGGCGTTGATCTCCCGCACATTATACCCAGCATGCCGGGCTATGGTGTGAGCTAGAGTGGTCTTGCCCAGACCTGGAGGACCACATAGCAAGGCCACCTTCTGCATGGGTCTGCCCAAAGCATCCACATTTGTGTTGAGGGCCTGGCGAGATTTGCGCTGCCGCCAACCGCCGTTGGATTCGAATTTGCCAGTGCGCTTATTAAAGCTGTTCAGCTGATTATTAGCTCCTCCACCAGCGGCTCCTCCTTCTCCCGTCACCGCCTCTTGTTCCTGTTTGCTGTGAAAGGCCTTGCCGAAGACCACCTTGTCCCACATTTTTAGCCAGTAGAGCAGACTCCTGTTGGTCATCTCATCGGACAGCAGGTCAATGTATTTCCTCGGCTTGTACTTGTCCACCCAAAGGCGATCGGGTTGGGTGTGGGAATCGGTGGGTACTAAGGTTACATCTGAATCTTTTTCCACTTCCAAGCGACTTAAGACCTGTGAGATAAAGGGAATTATTAAATGGTTTTACGGGGTTTCCATGATACCCACTATTTCGCTGGCCTCCTGCCAGATCTTCTCCTTAGCCTCACCCAAGAGACTGCCCACCACTTCGCCCCGGGCGCTGATCATGTCCAGCTGCCTTTGCTCGTAGTCCTCGGAGTGGAAACGGACATAGATCCGCTCGAGATCGCTGCGTTGGATGGCTAGGAAGGGCCAGTTGGGTATGTCGTAGGAGAGATTCCGCATCTTGAAGTCATGGAGCGCCTTCAACCGACTGACATCATCTTTTCGCAGCGTTTTGCTGGACTCGCGCAATTTGCGGCGGAGTTCGAGGATCTTATCAATGGCCTCGTGATCTCGCTGCTCCTCGGTGCGGGCCTTTTTGACCATGGGATCCTCGTAGGACTCGTGAAATAGGTCATCTATATCCCCGAAGAGATCACGTTCCAGGCGGCGCTTATTGAGGTTTTTGAGACCCACTTCCTGGAGTTGATTGGCGGCGGGATTCTCGGGCTCCTCGTCGAATCCCCGACTAGTTAGTTGGGTGCTCTCCAGCTCCTGGATGGCGGGCATTCGCTGGAAGGGCGTGGAGCAGCCTCTGCCCACCGGTGGTCCCTTGGGAGTCCCAAATAGCCGTCGATTTACAAGGCCTCCAGTAGAAGTTCCTGCTTCTAGATCTTCTGTTCCCAACTGACTCGCTCCAAAAGTAATCTGTGAAAGCTGAGGCGATCCCAGAGTGGAGTTACCCAGGCGGGAGACATCCTTTAAGGGAGGAGCCTGGTTTTCCTTTTGTTTCGAGGTGCTGGGAGCGGGAGCCTCATTGAACTCGTCCGGCAAATCCTCCAGTAGCTCCAGTTCATCTTGGTATTGCAGCTCGTACTCCTCGTTCTCATCGGGATACTGATCCATCCTGGATATTCGCGAATTACGACCGCAAAATCCTTTATATTGTAAACAAATTTGGAAGTTATTTTCCCGCCAAAAGTGCAAACGGAAACAGCTGTTCTAAGGCAGAGTTGCCACGTTATGGTAAACAGCTGATAGCAGAGGCACGCCGTAAAAGGAAGTACGCAGCTCTGGTCACACTAAGATCCGTTACATTTTAAATTCAAATTTTAATTTTACACAACATTTGATGTGCTCACAACAAACATAAACCGTCTTAGCGAAAAGAGATAGCTGCAAGAGAGCTACTAAAGGCGCTAAAAAAAACATCTTTCTATTAAGTATGTTATTTGATAAATATTAATTTATATGTATAATATTTATTTTATATCAATGATCCGTTTTACTTTTAAGGAAGAAAATCGAACTGCAATTAAGCACTATTAACTACTTATTTAATTAAAAAATATCAAAAGAATTATAAGCAAAATAATAAAAACCGTGATATCTTCACTTGTAGGATTTATTTTTCTGAGATTCCGTCATTTTCGGTTTCCGCATAACGGTCACTCGTTTTTCCATTCCCACCGGCGACCCGATTTCCCTTGTAAAAATAATGCAACTCACAGTTATAGTCAGATCGGACGCCCTCGCGGCGCTAAAATCGGGCAGATAATATATATAGTATTATCCACTAAAATTGGTATTATTACAAAGATCATCCCCCGCCGGAGATGAAGTGAAAAACCATGTGTTGCTAGCGAATATACACGAATGAAAACAGCTGCTATGACCAAAATATCGCTCGGTTCTTCAGATTGCATTTTTCTCTTGTTATAGTTTCCACACCCCTAAGAAAATCAAGGAAAAGCGAGAAAAACTAGCAAGAGGAAGAAGAGTACAACAGAAGAGCAAAACAAAACAAAGCGATTTAGCTTTCGTTTTCCCTGATTATAACACACACCCACACAAAGTAAGTGATAAAATTTATTTACGTCACCCACTGATAAGGTCAATAACAACAAACGCACTGGGAATAAAAAATAATCGCCTGTCTTATTATCCATGGAATTACATGCACTCGATAAACTATCAACTTGTGACCCTCATTGAAAATGAACAAGTACAGTGGGTTCACGTTACGGTATTCCCTAAAAGAGGGTTGGCGTAAAAACAAAACATGAACATGAACACTACCGTTGGCACTACAGGAACCAAATTTAAAATCAAAGAAATATTTTTCGATTAAACTTAATATTTTTCACTTGTATATACCAAAAAATCAATAATTTTGAAAGAAGAATAAAATACATACTCGTAAATCCTTCAAAAATTTTATAATATCTTTCAATGAATTATTTTATTAAGCGAAATATTATATTGAATATTAAAAAATATATAATATAGTACTCATCAATCGAAGCTAGAATAGCTTAAGCTCGAGGTTAAACTTGTTCTGTATACAGCACATAATAATATACTTACTAATATAAAATCTCGTCCCAGACAGGATGCAGAACTGGTTGGCCTCCCACGATGGCGAAGAGGATGCAATGGCTGCTCCTTCTTGCTGTCCCTCGTCCTCGGAGAACGGAAGTCGCCTGGGATCCCGTCGAATCTTCGGCGACATAACCACGAACAGACTTTGGACCTTTAGGGTGCTGATGAACCAGGAACTGGCCGCCAACGAGCAGTTGGCCATTGTGGGAAATTGTGAGGCCCTGGGTAACTGGAAGCACTCGGGAGCGGCTCTTCTGTCCAAGGATGATGAAGATGATGAGGACAGCAATCTGTGGACCGGGGAGGTCTACATTCCGCGTCACTGTGACACGGAGTACCGCTATATGGTCTGCGCCCTCGACCCCAGTGCTGAGCAGCTGATGGTCCGCCGTTGGGAGACCCAATTACAGGTTTACAAATTCATTATGTACTGACCCTATACGAGTGGAGTCCATAAATCCAGCTGGCCCTGGGATCGGATTTGATTTGTATGCACTCGTATGGGACTCAAAGAGCAGAGTTTTTAGAAGGGTAAAGCTAAAAGAATCTTTTTTCCACAGCCTAGAGCTATCAAGGAACTGGATGAGCAGCCTGCCAAGAGTCACATGGATATATTCGGCTCGATAAATGGGCAGGAGAAGGTGGATCGCGGATGGCTGACCAAGGAGACCTTGGTTCAGTTGAAGTTCTTCTACGCCCCCTTCACCTTCAAGCAGCGCATGAAGAGGAGGCACATCCAGGTGAAAGTAACGCCCATGAACCTGAGTATTCCGAGTGCCAGTTGTGAGTCCATGGCGCCCGTTTCCCCCCTGGAGGACTCCCTGTCGAACGACACCCATGATACGAAGGAAAATGGTGGAGAATCCTCTACAGCCTTCGCTTTCAGCGAGGTGGTCACCCTGAGTGCGGATGAGTGTGAAATCCGGCGTCAAGAGCAATTCGGCACTGGATGTGGACCCAGTGACCTGGTCATATTCCACCTGACCGTCGGGGACTTTGAGAATACGGCCTACCTGATCGACTTGTATAGCTACAGCTCGCGGGTGGCCAAGGAGGACGGTCCTCCGAATCACCTGGGCTACCACTATGTGCTCCCGAATCTCTTCAAGCGATCCGAAGGCAATCTAGAGCTACCAATCACCTGCGCCAAGGGCCATCGACCCCTGGGAATGATGCGTCTGGGCTATCTTATCGTGAAGCCCTCATCGCAGTGCGCCCTGATGGACATGAGTGTCAGCTATGCCCGGTATTGGAACAACAAGTGGACGGGCCTGGACGTGGGCCATCGTGGTTCGGGCACCAGTTTCAAGGCCAAGGATGCGGTGATCCGGGAGAACACCATCACCTCCCTGAAGAATGCCGCCGACCACGGTGCCGACATGGTGGAGTTTGATGTCCAGCTCAGCAAGGATCTGGTGCCGGTGGTCTATCACGATTTCATGATCTACGTCTCGCTGAAGTCCAAGTGCAGTATGCAGGAGCATGACTTCCTGGCCCTACCGATGAGGGAGTTGTCCCTGGAGCAGTTGAGGAAGCTGAAGGTCTATCACATAGCCGAGGGGCTGTCCAGGGAGACGCGCTCCTTTCACAACGACGACCTTCTGGAGCATCAGCCCTTTCCCGAGCTGTCCGACGTCCTCGATGCCCTGGATGTCCACGTGGGATTCAATATCGAAATCAAGTGGTCCCAGAGGCTGGAGGATGGCAAAATGGAGGAGGAGTTCGAGCACGTGGTGGATAGAAATCTCTATATCGACTGCATATTGGATGTGATCCTACGAAAGGCGGGTAACCGCCGGATAGTCCTGAGTTGTTTCGACCCAGACATCTGTACCATATTGAGATTCAAGCAAAACCGATATCCCGTCATGTTTCTCACCCTCGGCAGGACCACGAAATACCAGAAGTATTTGGACCCCAGGGGCAACTCCATGGAGCTGGCCGTCTGGCACGCGGTGGCCATGGAGTTCCTGGGCGTTGTGGCGCACACGGAGGACCTGCTGCGAGATCCCAGTCAGGTAACATGATCCACTCTCGAGTCGTGAATCACTCAGCTACGGACGCTTTTAGGTGAATCTGGCCAAGGAGCGCGGTTTGGTGCTGTTCTGCTGGGGCGACGACAACAACTCCAAGGACACAATCAAGCTGCTCAAGGAGCTCGGTCTGCACGCCATCATCTACGATAAAATGGATGTCCTGACCACCAAGGAGGTCAAGGTGAGTCCTTGTCAGGCTTTAGTTCGCTGAAGAAAGGGAATATGTACAGCTGCGGTCAAAAGAATAGTGGTTTTTAAACTTTTTGAACATGAATATGAAAATAAATTAAAATATTATTTTTTAATAAATTTATTAGTTACATTTTTAAAAAAATACGCGAACTAATTATTCGACCTTATAGATACCCCTTTCGTCAAGCGAATTAAGAATTCTAATACATATTTTTAATGAAATCATTACCATCTCCCCCCAGCAAAGTGTCTTCCACCTTCAGGCCAAGGACAGCCAGAAGGAACTGCTGAAATTGCAGGCCCTGGAAATGGGACATGTGTGGCACACCTCTGCGGATGGAAACGAGGAGCAGCAGGCATAGGCACTGGATATTATATCTGCAAGACTATTTTATACTCATCTTTATGTACGCAAATACCGCTCTGCTAGGACCAAAACTCATCTGATTTCTACATCTTTCATCTCCATGCCTCCATTTCGTCACTTAGCAAATTGCATTTGATTTTTATAAATAGTTAATTAAAAATGTACTTAAAATCTGTCCAACCAAATAAGGAACCTCTTCTTCGTTTCCTAACTAAATACAACTGCTCTGTACTTCAGTTTTTACGTTCCCAAAGCTCTTAAAATTATAAATTTAAACAACAAATGTATGCGTTCTTTTTTGTGGGCACAAGAATTGTCCAATTTTGGAATAAATTTGGGAGTATAATTTAATCAACTTAAAGAATAGAGATGTAACGAATTTATCTCGGATATTTTAAAATTATGACGAAATTGAAATCCTAATTTTGTACACGTAAGAAATATGGAAAAAGGAAAGTCGATGTGCGAGATTACATTTTTAAAATGTTTCACATTTGAAATATTAAAGTTTAAAATAATATAATATATTTCAGCAGTTAGATTTAAAACTTAGCCGAATGGAAACAAATTCATTGCTTGCAATTTTTGTTGTCATTTCTTTTTATTAGATTTTGTCATCGGTCTGGCAAATAAACCTTTTTTTATAAGTACAATTGTTCACAAACATATACCCGTCTAGGATTGCAATGCAGCGCTCTTGGTCGTTATTGTACACATCAGGAAACCATTTGAAAAAGGAAGCTGGCCTTCCCGAGGCCACGGACACAAAGTCACCCTTTTTGTCCCGATCGTTGATGCCCAGAAAGTATGTCTCCAAATTATTGATCTTCGCCACTATAGCATCAAACTCCTCTCTATTTTGAATTGAGGCCAAGTATCCTCCCATTCGACGGCAGCTGTCCTGAGCATCAGCCCAATTCAGCTTAATATCTTCTTGGATGTGAAAGAACCTTGATCCAATCAGCTTGAAACCAGGAGGTATGGATTTTGTATTGACTTTAGAATAGGTTTCGCTAATTGCTGTGAGGTGGTTGTCCATCTTGGACTGCATAGACTGCAGTTTATTTTCAAGTCTTGTCAGATGAGCCTCCGTCCTGGACAGCTTGTCCTCAAAGTCCTGAACTACTGTCATCTTTAAAGATTCCTGCATGGCGATCTGCTGCCTCTCCAGCTTTATATACTTGGACTCCAAAGAATCCTTTAGGCTGCTTAAAACTTCTTGTGTAGATGCTTGGGATGTCTGTGTGTCCTTACTTACTAAGTGATGGTTGTTTATATTGATCTGCATAGATGCCAGTTCATTTTGTAGGGCTGCAAGTTGGGTCTCCATACTGCCTAGTTTTTTTTCAAGGTCTTGGGGGATAGCCTTCGGTAAAGATTCCTGCATGGCCATCTGCTGCCTATCCATCCTGTCCAACTTTACGTCCTGGAATTCCTGAGAAGTCTTAACGTTGGTTACAGCCTCTTGCAGGGAAGCCATCTGGATAAGAATCTGGTTCTTATCCGCACGGGTGACGTTCTCCGTGATTTCCTGACAGGTATTCCATCTCTCCTGGTTGGCAGCAACGTAATCCATCACTGAACTCATCTTAGAGAAGCAATGCCCGGTACAGCGGGTCTCCAAGTCCTCCGCTTTACTTCCAGGACTCTGACTTTTAGTGGGTCCTGCCAAAGATTCATTATAATTACCAACAACTAGGATGTAGAATAGAACTGCAGCCAATCTGTGCATTTTTATTATTTTTGAGGGAGCACACCCGATTAAGATCACCATTGGTAGGCTACTTAAACAAATCGGCTCAGTTCCATAAAGTTATACGTGCTTATAGGAGCTTATCAATTACTTAATAGCTTTGTTTACGCATTCTGAGTCTTGGTTCTATAATATTTTACTTGATAAGTAAATAATTCCAGGAAAATAATGATTGGGTATTTTTAACTTGGAAATTAATTTAAATAAAAAAATAAAAACCAGAAGAAATAGGGTATTCCAACAGTCCATGTTATTTTTTATTTTGATTTTGTTATGTTCTTAATCTTGAAAATATATTTTAAGAAATGGCATTTAACTCAGATTCTTAAAGCTAATAAAATCGCTACTAAACGAACTTTAAAATTTTAAAAAGATTTTCTCCATCACGCATACGCAGTGTTGCATTTTGGCGCAACAATCATGCGAATGTCAGAGCAAAAGGAAATAGAACGTTGAGACAGGCACTGCGCATGCACTTCATATAGAGCGGAATACGACGAGCCGAAGAACAATATCAACATCCCTCCAGAGAGAGAGGAGCGTGAAATGCCATCGGTTTGTTCGGATTCCTTTTCAGTTTGTAAAATCGCCTCGAACGGTTCGGATCGAAAGCGCGCGCGAAGAGAACGTACGGCCAACTCCCCGGAAAGGAAGAAAAACAGAGGAAGGAGGCGCACACCCCCAAAAAGAAAACGAGTGTAGTTTAGTAGTGCATTAGTCCACAGTTTAGTTCTCCCCTTGGTTTCACAATTTTCAACAGGCCCAAAACATTGGTTTCCTGCGTTTCCCCGAGTTTTCCTGCGACCAGAGTCCCAAAGATCCCAGCAAATCGGAACTATGTTTACGGGCAGAGCGCAACGAGGCCGCAGGATGAGAGAATAGGTGAGAAGTCGGAGAAGGCGGGATAGGGATAGGGATAATACGGATGGGAAATGGGGTACGGATATGGTATACATCTGGGCAGGAGTCTTACTTAGCTCTACCTTTTTAAAGTCAATCCATATCCTTCGGCCGACAATAAGGAAGTTTGTGATACACCGAAAACGGAAAAATCGATGCGTGCGCGACGACAACACACACGTGTAGGTCCTGCTGCTATGTGTGTGTATATCAAGTATACGCCAAGTTAACCGAGGCAGGCAACTTCATACCACAACAAAAACACGCTACTTACAAAGCACTCCTGACCTACTGTGTGTGCACCCCCATTTTCCATTTTCCCCGCCCCAAAAGTAACTGCCACCTTCTAACTACTCTACTTGCGTGTAATGTTCTTTCGGAGGGAAGGAAGTTTGGTATAAAAAAATATACGGAGGGGAAGAAAGGAGCCGAAACTCATTTTAAATACTTCTGGTTGCGGCCAAGAAGTGTGTGTAGGTCCTTCCAGCTTTCCGCCGCTCATTAGAAGTGAATAAATAATGCGGCTAAATGTGCATACACGTACCTATGTACACTTTAAACCCGTGAATATTAAGCTAGAGTTTCGGCAATCCCGAAACGGCATCACAGTGTGTATAACATAATCATTAGCATTAATTGCAACTGAATTCCACCACTTTTCCGGACGGAAAAACTGCCCTCAGCGTGTGTTTGGCTTGTTTGTTTTGTTTATAAAGCCTCATGAAAATTGTGTGTGAGTTGTTTTGTATTTTTATGGCGCTGATTCGAAAATCGAGAATCGAAATTGAGGGGCAGCCGGCTGCGAGTAAACAACCAATGGACACCGATGAGCATCGACAACAGAAAAAGAACAGCCCGGACGGACAGGGACAGGCAGGCAGTTGGTCCAAAAAGGCAGACGGACAAGACGCTGTTGCTCACTTTGTGTACATGATGTACAGACATTAGTGGTCAAAATTGTAGTGCTGCTGGCATCAGTAGGTCTCATCGGAGTCACAGATATTTCAAGACAGAGGTAATCACTCATCAAAGGGATTAGCCTTTAAAATTAGTAAGGAGAAAATAAGCATTATCAATTACCATTACTTAAAGAAAACCCTTCTTTTTAAATCAGTTTATATGGTGTCCAAAAGTATGCAAGATAATATCCGAAAGACCCATGGATTCATGAAGGTGTCTAAAAGTATGCAATTAAAAAATATTGCATATTAAAACCAATTGGTTTCCTTTAATGAATTTTTATTAAAAAGTCCAGTCTCATTAAAAACCTACAAGATTGGATATAGTGTTTGGCAATTTCAACCTAGTACCTGCAGTGTACGTTTCTCAATCTTATCGCCTAGATCTTCATAAGATCATACAAATAATTTTTGTTCCCTACTACTTTTCTGGCCGCAGCTGTATCTGCTAGTATTCAGATACATTTGTATCTGTGCGTGCGAGAGTGTAAACAATGCAGCGCCAAAACTAAATATTGTTTAAGAACAAATATTTGCCTTTTGTGCAAATCACGAACGGCAATTTCATTATTCCGTTCAGCTCCTTTTTTTGTATTTTTTTCAATATACTACAATATAGTCTGTTTCCGTGCCACTCTCAAAAAATTGATGACGCTATCGATGATATGGTTGGACTATATTTAGTTAGATCTGGGAGAAAAGGAAAATAATCCCAAGTGGGATGCGCTTCACGAGCTGCTAATGGGTCAATTCAATCGAAGCAAATATTATTGCCCATTTTCCAAATAAATGACCTTAGTTCGGGCGTTGAGTTTGTTGATTTTAAATATTTATGCGGCGTAGAAGTACTCGCTAAATAAAGTGAATCCAGGCATTGAATCATCGGATGCATACATCAATTAAAAGAACGGGTAAAAACTTACTTTAACCGAATTCATCCGGCACACTTCAACACATAACTGAATCATTTGGTTTTGGAATCGCGGATCCATATTCTTTACTTAGAAGTAAACAAAATTTTCGATTTTCTGCCATAAGCTGAAGACGTGCGAAAGTTTGCCACTCTCGTGAAATGAGATAAAGAATATGAACTACTCAATGATTTGTGTACAGACAATATTGATTTAGAATCGATGATTTGTATGCTTAACATTCGGAAGCGAGGTCAGATGACTTTGTTTATAAGGCGACTTGCGGAAATCCTGCATGGTCATTTTGATTGTAATCAATTTTATTCTTAAAGATTGCTAACATAACATATTGGTAAATTATTTACTAAGAACCAAAAAATTCCCTAATAAAATAATGCATTTTTAATGTACACCCACAAATTTTATTGTTCTTAAAATAGTTGTGCGTGCGTACATAATGGCCTCTATGAATTGACTCTGTTACTTTTACTCAGCACATGTGTCTAGGTCATAAACTCATAATTATTAACCATTAAAGTAAAGGAATCACATAAGGGGTTCTAACATTCTTAAGTCTCTGTGATTTAAAAACGTATTTATTTCAAGAATAACAAAAAAATGGCTTCTTTTTTGTTGATGTTTATGGGTTTTTAATTTTTTTAATATATTGTGGGCAACGTTTCGCAACTTAAATATAAAAAATTTTGTAGTAACTAAGTGTAATTTTCTTATCCAAACATCGTTTTCTTTCAGCGCCATGTTGTCCAATCCAGCCCCAACCTAGTGAGTAGCTCATTACCGAGAATCATTGGGGGGTGTTCCTAACATCTGGTTCAATATTTTCAAGTGGTGGTCCGAGGTCTTGAGACGTGATCCCCTGTGGGTGCCGAAGAGTGGATCGCAGGAAGTGACAGGAAAGAGTGGTGCCTGGGACGAGGGGCACTACTAACTGCAAAAATCGTGGGCAAGGACAACGAAAGGCATTCAGGTTGGAGAGTAAAAAAAGAAAACAATGAAGTCCCAAGAAAGAACACACGAAAATATTTATTAAACCCACACAAAAAACCCACAAAAAACGGAAAGTAAAGAAGTACTTGAGTTGTGGAAGCACCTGAGTGAAAAACCCAAGAAGAAAAAAAAACCATAACATAAACTTTTAGTTTATCCATTAAATACTTTATTTAGATTATTTTAATTTCTATAACACTGATATACTTTAATATCTCCAACCAAAACCCATTGATATTCAATTCAATTGATTAACGAACTTGTTTGTAAATGATTGACTTTTGAGTTCTTGATTGAGACAATGACTTATATACCTAAAAAAATGCAACACTATGCGCATGCAGCCATGAATCTGATCAATATGGATTCGGAGAACCGGGTGGTGCTCAATGTGGGTGGCATTAGGCACGAAACCTACAAAGCCACGCTGAAAAAGATTCCGGCAACGCGACTATCGCGACTGACAGAGGCCCTGGCCAATTATGATCCGATACTGAATGAGTACTTCTTTGATCGGCATCCGGGAGTCTTCGCACAAGTGCTCAACTATTACAGGTGGGTGTGTAGTATATAAGAAATATAAAACAAATCAAAACACAAAAAATATCTAATTAAGGTTTTTAAAAGTACTCAGAGGACTTCGAATGCTACTAGTTATTTGGAAACACTTGTGATTTCTCCTTGATTATTTTATTTTAAATGATCATCTTCCAGAACCGGTAAGCTGCATTATCCCACAGATGTGTGCGGACCGCTGTTCGAGGAGGAATTGGAGTTCTGGGGCCTAGACTCGAACCAAGTGGAGCCCTGCTGTTGGATGACATATACACAGGTAAGTCACACTATTAAATACCATTTTTGAATAAACCTAACTTATGGTGTACTATTTGTAGCATCGCGACACCCAGGAAACCCTTGCCGTATTGGATCGACTCGATCTGGATACGGAAAAACCGTCCGAAGAGGAATTGGCTCGCAAATTCGGCTTCGAAGAGGACTACTACAAAGGCACCATATCCTGGTGGCAGGAGATGAAGCCGCGCATTTGGTCCTTGTTCGATGAGCCCTACAGTTCCAATGCCGCCAAGGTGAGTCATCCTTCCAAATATATCTAAGTCTTGATAATCAACAGAATATTTCAAGCAATAAGACATACTTGATTAAAATGTTTTCAAAATTCAGTTTCTTTAAACACTTTCAATTAAAAATGCATTTGCATTTGCATCATTTAAAAACACTTTTCAATTAAGCTATAAATAATTTCAACAATTTCACGAGTGAGTAGAGAGCACCCACTCACAAATTCCGTTTTAAAAGCGATGTACTATGTAATTACAAAAGTGCTTTAAAAATACATATATTGAGTGGCATCCATTTTTATTTTAAGTGAATGCATATCAAAGCATATTAAGACATTAATCATTTGTTGACGTTTTTATAGATTTTTAAAATTATCATTTTTAAATTCCAGACCATTGGCGTGGTTTCGGTGTTCTTCATCTGCATTTCGATCCTGTCGTTTTGCCTGAAGACCCATCCCGACATGCGAGTGCCCATCGTCCGGAATATTACAGTGAAAACAGCGAATGGAAGTAACGGCTGGTATTTGGACAAAACCCAGACCAATGCGCACATAGCCTTCTTCTATATCGAATGCGTTTGCAATGCCTGGTTCACCTTTGAAATATTGGTAAGAGATTAAATTTGAAGGTTGTGACCAGTCACTGACTGGTTAAAAACCATTAAGTCAACTAAAGGTCTTCCAAATAACTCCATGAACTTTTCCAGGTGCGCTTTATATCATCGCCAAACAAGTGGGAATTCATCAAGTCATCTGTTAACATCATAGATTACATAGCGACGCTTAGTTTTTATATCGATCTAGTGCTTCAGCGGTTCGCATCGCACCTGGAGAACGCTGACATCCTCGAGTTCTTCTCAATCATCCGCATCATGCGACTGTTCAAGCTGACGCGCCACTCGTCCGGCCTGAAGATCCTCATCCAGACGTTCCGGGCCTCGGCCAAGGAGCTGACCCTGCTGGTGTTCTTCCTCGTCCTGGGCATCGTGATCTTCGCCAGCCTCGTCTACTACGCGGAGCGCATCCAGCCGAATCCGCACAACGACTTCAACAGCATCCCGTTGGGTCTGTGGTGGGCCCTGGTCACCATGACCACCGTGGGCTACGGGGACATGGCCCCCAAAACCTACATCGGTATGTTCGTGGGCGCCCTGTGCGCCTTAGCCGGCGTACTAACCATCGCACTGCCAGTGCCCGTCATCGTCAGCAACTTCGCCATGTACTACTCGCACACGCAGGCCAGGGCCAAACTGCCAAAGAAGCGGAGACGAGTGCTTCCCGTCGAACAGCCGAGACAGCCCAGAATACCAGGTGAGTCCATCCTACACACCGTAGTATGAAAATGCGGGTTAACCACCATCATCGAACTACCCTTGCCGGTAAAAATGTAATTGAGTTTTAAAATCATTTCATATGGTTATTAAACGAATGTTTTAAATATATTTGATTTAATACCATGATTTTTTTTAAATATAGAAATCAAAGTTTAAGAGGAATATTCCAATGTGACATTTATTTCAGATAATAATTATTTTGTTTCTGTTGATTATTATAATATGGTTTCAGAATTATATCACTTCATTTCAAAGGTATTTCGAATTTATTTGATGGTTGAAATTTATTTTGCTTTCCAGAAACGTATAAATATATCGCAAATCACGTTTGCTATTTATACAAAAACAATTGAATTGTAGAATATATGAAAATTATGATAAAAGAATATTAGGAATTGGGAATATATATTGAAAATAAGAATGGATAGTCTATTACAAAAATGCAAGAAGTGAATATAGATATTATCCATTTTTTTTAGACCATCGATCTTTTTAAGATTTTTCTCAATAAACACTTAACCGTTTTATTACATTTTCCAGGTGCCCCTGGTGGTGTCAGTGGCTGTGGCACCCCGGGCTCGGGTCCCCATTCCGGTCCCATGGGATCCGGTGGAACTGGACCACGTCGCATGAACAATAAAACGAAGGACCTGGTCAGCCCCAAGTCAGGTGAGCCCATGTGTGTCCTTAAACGAGTAACACCACACCGATTCCCACAAACCAGCAAAATGCAAGCCTCAAGCTAAAGCCACAAAAAAAGAAAAACAATTTAAATCGAGCTGCGCTTCAAAAAAGGCACCGCCAAAACCCAAAATATACCACTAAGTACAAGAAACGAGTAAACCAGCTAAACCAAGCCAACAAAGTTCTTAACCTGTACCTAAAAGCTCGCACAGCTGCACCCTCAGTTCGAAAGTAATCGAGTTCAATGGATTAACTTGCAAAACACAACCCAGTAATAAATACTCGTTATCCTTTGTGCCGTTTCGCAGTTTCTCCTGGCAAATGAATACAAATAGTTATTGATAACATATTAAGTGCCTAGTAAATGCTGCCAAGATATACGATTCTTTGACCCACAACGACTCCATATCTGGGGTGCGCTTTCCCTTTTCGGCTATACTGTATCCATTATATAACATACCATTCGTCGTGTACGTGTATATATGTACTCTATGTAATTACCATGCATTAAAGGCTTCTTTATTCATATTCCAATTTATTCATTTATTCGAGCTTAGCTTTCATTTCACGCTAATCATTCAAAGGAATTTAAAATGGCGAATTATGGAGTTGAAATGGGAAATCGATGGGAATGTTACGGGAATAAAACTACAAATTCTTAAAAATATAAATATTTTTGAAACACTTAAAATATTATTTTAGCTATTTAGTAAATTCCCTTTGCAATCTCATAGATCTACATGAATTTCCCAAGCTCCAAATGTAAAGCCAAATTTTCAAGTCATTTCCATACCATATAACACATATGCAGACCCTTACTTTCTCTCCATTCATCGAAGGCATACTTGTATATTCAAAGTCCATCGTTCTCCAACCAGTTAAGGATGTAATTTTTTCCATTGAGTCAGCAAAATACAAGAATATGTATGGTACCAATATATGAACATATTTATACCCTTTCTTCAATGGTTATGATACCCAGATACATGACTCTATATTATATTTATCTATTTCCATCCTCGATTTTTTGACATCTTTGCTCCAAATACTTTTGTTTACTTTAATATAATTTAATTTTATTGATAAACGATCCAATCCAAACCCCAAAAATCTTGTGTAAATAGATGAATATACAACAATGATTGGCAAACCGCGCGATGGCAAAAAGAGCAGGCTGCTCTAAGCCAAAGAACACAACAACAGCAACAACAACATGAACCACGAAACAACAACAACCACAACAGAACCAGCTGAAGAACCAATAATCCCCCATACCATTACTTCCAAGCTAAGACTTGCAATGAGAGATGATGATGATGAAGATCTTTTCTATATAAGAATTTGGCAAACTGATCTATGAGTAAACGAAGGAATAATAGAGAGAAGCAAAAATGCAACCCCGAGGACTGGATTAAGATCAAATAACGGATAAAGATCGTGGTACGTTGGATCGAAAGAAAAGTTCTGGACGCCATATAGCCATAGATATGCATATAGTCGTATATGGTTTATCGTTTACTCGTGTCGGCGACGTCTGCTATTGTTACTACTACCACTCCAACCTGCTATATAATCGTATATATATCTATACAATATGTAATTTTCTACGTGTTTTCCTCTCTCTCTATATTTCTCCACCTATCTTTACATAAATAATATTACATATATTATATATCGTGTACGTGTTGTTCTTCAGTTCTGGCTCGTTCGTTACTTCGTTACCAGTGTATAAGATATAAGATACTATAACTATACTCAGATCTGTAACCGTATCTTCTCTCTCTCTCTCTGTGTGCGTGTGTAATTTTGTGATACTTTGTTTTTAGTCCCAATGCCCCCAAATCAGAAATCCCTTAGCTATGTAAAATTGATCAAAAAACATCGAAAAAAACATTTGTATTATCTCGAACTCTTGTATTTCAGATATGGCCTTCAGTTTCGACTAAGACAGATAACAGAACAGAACCAGAAAGATATTTTGTAATTTGTTAAGCCCGCTCAAGACACAAAACAAGAAAAAACTCAGCAACAAAATCGAAATCGAAACGAAATCAAAACGAAACCTCAGTTATATACAAACCGTAAAGAACTAATAAGTCCCCGGTTCGTTCATCTATCATCTAACTACTTATCAGCTAACCAAAACTCGGACTCTGCTGGGCGGGTGTGTGTTGGTTAAAAACCTTTATTATCTACCCCTAACAACCTCCAACTTTCTCGCTCTCTTCCAACCCGAAAAAATTCCCAACTAAAAGTGTCAAATAGTTGAAAAACTTTGAAACTAGTTCGTAGCAAGCAGAAACTCTAGAGTTTAGAGCCACCTTCACGAATCCGATTTCCCAGCATTTGATTCTACAAAGTTTCCCCCCGCCCCCCTCTGTTGCCTGAGTCCAAAATATCCACCCGAGCGAAAATCTTTGCCAAATGTAGTTTGCAGATACTGTATCTAGCCTTATATGTGTGTGTTTATTTGCCGAGCATGCTGCATGTGACCCGAATTTTGACCCGAGTCTTGGAGTGTGATTAGTGTTTCCATAGTTGTGTGTGATGTTTGTAATCGTGTTCGTGTTACACTACCCACCCCCCAGAAAACCACCCCACCACCCCTCGTATATCGTAGTAACCAAGTGCACCCAGTAATTACCATCAGCAATTTTGAAAAAGTTGCCTCCCACCTGTCATAATAAAATTCAAAGTTTACCGAATTCGGAATCTCCAGCTTGACTAACCGACTTAATGAAAATAATATATTTACTTCTCTCTCTCTTTTTCTTTCTCTGTTTTTCTCTTACTCTTCCTGGACCTCCCACTACTATATCTATCTATTGTTTCCGGCTATATAACTCCACCTACTCCACCTACTTCCTACCCGAAACCGAAATTGATAATCCTTTCTGTGGCGGGGTTAAAACAAAAAGTTGCTCAACTTTTCGCAGGTCCGCTGGGCGCAAGTATTGTGGCCATGAGTCCCAGGACAATGTTGGACCTGAATCCTGCCCTGGCGATGGGCAAGCCGTCGTTTCAGCCCCGTATACCCACCCCCTTGGCAGCCACGCCCCCTCCCCCGCCCAGTTCCGGTTCTGGTTCCGGTTCCGGTGGGCTGACGACATCTGTAACGGTTGGAGCAAGTGGAACCACTGCAGCACCACTTCAACTAGCACCACCAACCATCGCGGTGTCCACCACAGCGATTGTGGGCAAGGATTCGGGCATCTCGACCACCACAACCACACAGGCACAGGAGACCAGCAAGAAGGCCTTCCTCTAGGAAGGGCAGCCAAGAGACTCAAGCCACCTGATATCTATCTATCTGCGTTTCCCATATCTCCCCATATAAGCAATATCTATTCGATATCATACATAGCCTTCGCATACGTACTTGCTAAGAACAAAGGAGAGTTTCAGAGATGGCAAATGGATCATATCTTATCACTGATCAAAGACCGTCTTTGTTTGGCCGAATCTAATACACGAAATATCGAAATGAATATCATATATTCACCTGAGAGTTGGCTATGGATCAGACTTAACTGGGAATCAGCCGCAAATCAAATATAAATTGTGATGCTATAAATTATATAAAGTGTTCTTTGATTTTCAGCAGAGGTTTAAGCTTTTACTTAATTAAATACCAACGGGTTTACGCTTATTTGACTGTTATTATAAACTAGTTTATTATTTTGAAATCTCGAATCGTATATATTTATGCCACTTCAGAGGTGATACAAAAATTAAAGCAATACCATTTTTTATTAAATATAAAACTTATTTATATCACATAACGATCCAGCCATCTCTGATCGATTGCAAATACCTAGACTCGCAATTTGTGTTGACCATATCACGACATACCTATCAATATCGAACCTAAACATAACCTTAGCTAAATATAGATAATCCAATTGCTTGGCGACAACATTTTTCCATCGAGAGCTAGCCAAGACAGAGCGAAAACCATACTTTTTAATCATACAAAGTGTTTTTACCGAATGCAAGCTTACTAACGATCCATGTTCTACATAAGCCATAGATATTAAATCGACGAGGAGTGTATATAAACCTAGATGCTTTATAACTCGGTTTGCCAGTTCCTTATGCGTTGTGTAAAGACTCGAGTGCCCCAGTTCTCGTGGGGCAGTTCGGCTTGAAAGCTTTAATTTGATATATTTATAAACGGAAGACTCCAACTCAAACGCTGTTTGAGAAGCTTAATTAAACAGAAACCAATCAAAAAGTACACATACTGTTTAAAAATTCATCCAAGCCAGACAAGTGTTGACTTCAACTTTTTTTCTGAACTAAAAATAGAAAAGGTGCTGATTTTCCTCGAACGAAAAACGCAAAAGTTTTCAGGGTAAAAGTTGAAGCCGAAGAAAAACAAACGAAATTTTCCAACTGTTGGCACTTTTCGCTCATCACTCACTTACATGCTGGGATTACTCGGTAAGCTGGGAAAGAATCGCTTCTTATATTTTTCCAACCTGAGAAGTTGGCTCACATATCAACAAGCTAGGGAGACCTTAAGGAAAATTTCAAATTTCAACCAGTTAAAATGCGAATTATTTCCATTAAATTCTGTTAGGTACTCCGCCAACCTCCCCTCAACAAATGAAAAACAAACAAAGAATCCAGAAGCGGCAGGGAATTCCTTACAGTTCCGTTCAGTTAACTTGAGTTTGTTGAAAAAGTTTTCAAATTGCTATGGGGTTAAGTGGGTGGATTTAGCCCCGAAAACTCACTGGCGTGGTTCAAAAAACAAACAGGTTTGCAAATTGTTTTCCCCGATTTTCATTTGATTTTACTTGCGCAAGTCATTAGCTAATTCTCTTGTACATTTTGAATATACATATATATCTCTCAGCAAGCATTTTGCCTACATATTTGTAAGAATAAACATGATAATTACTGAAAACAAACAGTGGATCAACAAAGATAGCGAAATAAAAGGATGCAAAACTTAAGCAACATTAAGATCGAAGATGGGCAACAAATAAACGAAGTTTGCAAAAAATTTGTTAAGTTTTTACAATGAACAAAGCATTAATAAGAACTAAATTAATATTAAATATTGCAAGCTATAGGAAATTGATAAAAACAATTGTTTATATCGTTTTCGTTCTCTCGCTATGATTTTGAAACTGTTTTTTAATTGTATAGTTAAGCAAATTGTATACTATTTGAACTAAACAAAACAAATTGTTCTCTCAATAATTCATGAACAAAGAAAATTAAACTAATTATATATACATTTATATATATAATTGAACAAAAATATATATATGAATTTAAAAAAATAAAGAAATGCAATAAAGAAAACTACTGAACACCAAAATGGTAAATGTTGAATTTTTGTGGGGCTTTTTGAGGAAATAGTTACTAAATTAAATATAACAACTCAAAACTATTATTTTTATTAATGTTTTATTTCATGTTTAACAGCTATAAATATTTAATTGATTTAACATAGAATTATAAATAAAAGATTCCAGTACATATAATTTGTATGTATGTACAAAATTAAAATCAAGTAGATAAGTTTTTTTTGTATACCCTTTACTCGTTTATAATTAAATTTCCTCATCTGACTGACAAATGAAACTCATTTTCCGCTCGCACATCGCTACCCACATGAGGCCATTTAATATGGCAACGGAGTGCATTTTGCCATTTATATAATTTGGTTCACCAAGTGCCCACTTTAAAAAGGATGCTCGGTTCCCGGAGGCTAAGGACACAAAGTCACCCCTTAAGGCTAGATCGTTTATACCCAGCCAATAGGAAGTATCTTTCTTGAGTTTCGCACTGATGGCCGAAAGCTCCTTCTCATTTTGGACAGATGCTAGTCGTCCGAATTTCCGACGACATGCGATTTCAGCATCAGTCCAAGAAACGAAACCACTGTGTTGAATGTAAAAGTATCTGGTGCCGATTTGCTCATAGTTTTGCGGTATTTTCAATGTCCTTGGCTCCAGCGTCGTCAAAATTTTGGATAATGTTTCCTGCAAAGCTGATAGCTGATTTCCCATGGAACTCAACATCCCCTCTATCCTGTCAATCCTTTCCTCAAGGCCTTTGTGCTGACTCTCCTTTTGAGGGAAGATCCTATCTTCATTGGACTCTATCCTGGACTCATGGGTGTCCCTTGCTGTGGTCAGGGCATCTCGCAGGGTTGCCAACTGGGATTTTATCTGGTTGTGTTCCGACTGGGTGTGACTTGCTATGATTTCCTCACAGGTATTCCATCGAACCTGGTTGGCGACGACATAGTCCATCACCGGCCTCATCGCCGAAATGCAGGTTCCTCCGGGTTGAACCTGTAGGTCTTCCGATCTACTGCCAAGGCTGGGATAAGGGTATACGCCCACGGATCTACAACTTTCAGCAGCGAATAACACGTAGAGTAGAGCGACTACTAATTTAAACATTTTCAATTTTTGATTAATTTAAAGTAAGCTTTTAGAAGCAACTGCAATATTTGGCAGAAGATTTCTGCTTTTATACGTATCCGCGTGCTGTTATCAAAAAATTAATTGGGTGTTTTCACACTCTTTATACTTCACATAATAAATTACCAGATAAGTCATGCCAATATGTTTAACACTTGATAACCCCTACATATTTAAAAAGTATATTGACATGGGTCTTGTTAGAAAAACGTGTATTCCCTTGCAGATCTATTGATCATGATAACAAATATATAAATTAGAAAATACTTTTTCTTTATTTTCATAACGACTTATACGTACTGCAATATGTAAGTAGTGGGTTTACATTTAAAAAAAATTAAAAATTAAATATTATAAAAATTGTTTACATTGTTTTTGTTATTGTTTTTAAAGCCGACCTTCAAAATTGACAAAAATAAGTTAGTTATATTTGGAACTTGGTTGATTCTACTTGTTCGCGTGTTTCTAAAGAGTATTGTCTGGGGATTACTCTATTAACCTGACAATTTGGGATTTCCTACGATTTAAAGCCCTTATCAAATACAAACGAAGGCTTCTTAGTCACAGCTGAGCTTTAAATAATGACCTTTCGATTTTTATTTGTTATGTAACTAACATTACTTTATTTTTATTAGTTGAGTATACAATGTTCTCTCGTGTGCTATCATAATAAGTTAAAATTTGATGTGATGTTGCTTTAGTTACATTGTAAGTCTAAATATCTTTATCTGACTGGCAAATATAAATGACAACGGATGCCTCATTTAAGCCCATTTTGGCATTTTAAATTTACGTTGATTTTGGCAGCGAATTTTTTCTGATTTAGGACGTAACTGACATTTTCTAATTTTATATGTGCCGTAAAGTCCTTTCAAATGGTATGAAAAACACTTGACTGCGTTAATTTTTATTTGAATTATGTTTAACCCATTATAGCCTGCATAGGCAAAACTTCGCTTGTTTAAAAGGCGAGTGTGATGAATTTAGTTGATTATGGGTACAAACAAATGTGGTGATTTCGCCATCTCGGTGGATTCGAATCCTTAAAGTAAATTATCGTGAACCAAATAATACGTCAAAAAGAATAACGCCGAACATTTATTTATTTTTTGTAGTTTTATTAGATATCTAGGTGGGAACAAAAGTATGAACATTTATTTATAAAATTCCAAACAAAAATATATTTTGTTCCAATTAAAATGAACGTCAACAATTTTTCAAGAGTATTGACATCAAATCACTTCATCTGCTTGGCAAATAAAATTACGGTCTGCTATGCAAAGGTCATTTCTCATTCCCCAGATATCTAAAGAAACACAGTGTGACTCGTCGTAGTCGTAACTGGGTTCATAAGCTTTCCAATTCAAAAAACGAGCCTTTTTTCCTGAAGCTACTGATACAAAATCTCCTTTTTCTTCCAAATCGTTGATTCCTAACCAATATACAGTGTTTCCTTTGAGTATTGCATTGATGGCGATGCCTTCCTTTTCGTCTTTTATGGCCGCTAAGTGTCCGCCTTTCTGTTTGCAGGCTTCCTCAGCAAGATGCCAACTTTTCTTTTCATTGTGTTCAATGATGAAATGTCTAGAGCCTATAGGATCGTATTCGACCAGATTGGGCTCGATCTTGTGATCAAAGTACAAAAAGTAGTACAAAAGTGCCCCCAAGAAATAGAGGAGCATTTTAACTTTGTGTTATTTTATTTTGTGAGCACTAGCGAATAAGTTCCGATTGGCAAAGTAACTGAACAATTTTTGGCTAGTTTCCTACTTTTATACGCGATTTTCTCGCTTATCAGTCAGCCAATAGATTTGGACTCATATGGTCAAACACAAGCATCTTTTCGTTGGAATAGACTGTGTAGTTTGAACTTAGAACTTAAACTTGATTAGAATCATTTAAAGCAACTTTGTTTTAAAAGGAAAAAATTGTATACAAAACCATAAATAATAATTTTATAATACTAATTTATTGTTGATACATATAGTCGTTTTTTTTAATTTTTAATTTAATCATTCTCTGCCTGGAAAATGGAAAATTGAAAAATCTAGAGCCGATTTTATCATATTCCACCAGATTTGGCTCTATCTTTTGATCAAAGAAGAAAAAGTAGTACAAAAGTGCTACCAAATAATAAAGAAGCATAGTAAGTGTGTATGATGTTATTTTTGAGCAGTATAAACCATCAAGTCCGGAATGAAAAAGTAACTGAAACATTTTAGCTTAGTTCCTAATTTTTATACGTGCGTTGCTGGGCTTATCAGTCTGACAAAAGATTTGGATTCATACGGTTCCTAGCTCACTAGAAACTTTTTGCACGTATTTGTGTATTTTTGACCCTTAATGCTTTGTTTTATGTTTGGAACTTCTGATTACAGGGAACTGCCACTTAAAGGCAAACGTGTAGATTTAATTTAATTTTTCAAGGCCTTGTGACACATGCTTGATATTTTACCGATTGATTGGATTTTTTTCTCAGCGTTTTGGCAACCCAAGCTGTAGACCTTTTCCAAAGTGTCACAGGGCCTTAAAGGCTACAAAAATAATTTTGATTTTTGACATTTTGGGATACTTAAATAGTAATTGCCCAACTTCTAATTCATAGGCGAATCAAGCGAAAGCATTTTAAAAGCTGTAATACCTCTTTTCCTCGCCTTTGTATTTATCAAAGACTTTCGCAATACTTCGACGCTTTGGGAACCACTTCATTGCCACTTTCGGCATTTGTTTCGATTTCATTACCGAAATTTGCTATTGCAATAACAGCTCAGACACCCAAACCAACAAAGGCGAAACGAAAAGAGAAGTAACGCTTTGGCCCCCGAGGGCCTGACCTTCAACACTTGGCACAAAAGACCCGTATAAAGCGGGGGAGCCTCAGCCAACCAAGTGTAAATCGGGTCGAGAGCCGTTCTCCGTTCACCTCTTTTCCGGCCCTTGGCGATGGTCCAATAAAGCGCTTCATTAACCAGAGACTTTTCGGGGTTGGGGAGTGTTACGAACGGGTTAAGGTGGGTGGGCTTAGCCCCCAGTACCCCAGTACCACCGAAGAAAAGAGCAAAAATACCAAAGCCCAAACGGGGGGAATCCCCTCATCCCAAATCCAAAGCTATTTTGGACTGGCCCCAATCAACAGTTGGTTCTTTTGGGTGGCCAAAATCGGGTGGTCGGTGGCTTTTGCGGAAGAAGAGCAGAGATTTTCGCTCAAACAATTTTTTACTATCCACCCACATTCTGTCTGGGGTGAACTAATAATCCATGAAATTTCAATTACAAGTCAAAAATTATACCCCTCGCTCTATCTTTATAGCACCGCCGCCTCTCTTTCTCTCTTCTCCAGCCATCTCTCTCTGGTGTAAGTTGTAATCATTGGGAGCTTTTTTGTTGTGCGGGAAAAACTCGGTTACTATATAGTTTTGCCGACAATTTGCAGAGTTTTCCAGTTTCGGTGAGGGGTTTTCCTTTTCCTTGGAAGGGGGGAGGGGGCCTGGAAAAAGCTCTCTCTTTGGGGGACTCTCTCCCTGTTTCGGAATCTCCTCAGAGAAACCTGCGCTCTTTGGACGTGTAACGCTGGTGCCGCTCACCTATTTGGCTATTTTGCATGGCTGTTGCTCCCAGAAGAAAGCTGCATCTCTTGAAAGACCGAAGAGAGAGTGGTGCGGCTTCGGGGGTGGTGGTGGTGGTGCAGGTGGTGCTGGAGGCGCGGGTGGCTCTGCCGGTCCGGTCTCTTTGGCTGCCTAAAAGCGGATTCAGTTGAATTTCGACTGCCCGACCAGCCAGTCTCTCCCGCTTTTCTCGCCCGCTCGCGTCGGTCTTTTCTTTGTCGTCTCCGCATCTCCGCATTTTCCCAGTATCTCGGTATCTCAGTGTCTCAGTGCCTCCAGTGCCGACAGTTTTCCGCCGACGTCCAAAAAAATTGTCAAAATAATACAAAATACGGGAAAAAAGAAGGCAATACATGTAATAAATAAAAACCAGCCAAGAAAAGCCAACCGTGAAAATATAAATATAAATTCCTGGCGTCAACTGTCAACGGCAGCAGCATTTTCCAGCACAATGTTGTTCCTGGGCATTCGGCGATTTTAGGTTCGTTTTTCTTCTTTTTTGGGTGCCTCTTGGCATTGCTATTTTGCTATTTTGAATATTAAAAGACAAGTGCGAGGACGGACATCAATAGCAATGACGCTGACAGTTTTCCCGACCCCGACTCCGTCGCTTTTCCTCGGCTTTTCCTTTGCCAGCGATTAAGACCAGGCAAAGTTGCTGGCCGTTGCCTGGCTACGTTTACAAGCCAAGAGTCGGGAGATGCCATGCATTATACATAAGCTCTGGTGAGAGGTTTGCACCGGGAAAAATATCACCAAAAATGTGTGGCATCTCATTGGCAGGTTTTCAGCCCACAAAAGCTGGCGAGCATGGTAGTTTGGTCGTCAAAAGTGTCAAATCAAGCATTCGAGCAGTAGTATTTGGGCTATTCAGTAATTTAATGGTTTAATGGTGTGTCATTAAAACGGTTTGGGTTATTACAACCTTGGCACATACTCTTCCTGGTTTGGTGAATAGAAAAAATATTAAAAAGCCCTATCTAATAAGTATCCGTATCGCATCATCATTTAAATTAGATCTGGAGAGTGTCAAAGACATAGATAAAAATCGAAGGATTTTTGTTGTGCCCCTTTAAAAATCTTATTCTTTTCAAATATCCTAAAAAGTTTTCTTTTATTTCCTGCCGTTGGTAAATTCCAAGATCTGATAATTCCCTTCATGTTATTTATAACCTAAACATATAAAAAAGCCTGTTCCTAAAGAATCCAAACATTTTCACTTATAGTTTTGTTATAGAATGGGCAAAAGAGGATTACTAAATAAATCAAAAATATTTTTGATAACTAAATGTAGAGTGTTAACAACAATGGAGTGAATTTGCAGTTTTCAGGTTTTTTTTAACGTGTGAAGAGAAATATGAGAAAGGTGGCTGAAGGGGCGAAGAAATGGTTGGAGTGGCGAAACCAAGCGAGAAAAGAGTAAAGTGCTAGTGGCTGCTGGTCTCCAACTAGATTAACTGTGAGCCGAGCTTTTATTTTTTGAGTCTTTATTATTAGCCGGGCAATCAGAGCCCGAGTCTCGCCTCCCTGGAAATTGGACACTTCTGCAGCACACGCACTCGTTATATATTAATGACATTTTCCCTGACAAATATTGAATCGATTGTAATGGTTTCTGGCAATGGTAATTGTAACTCGATGCGGTTAGTTAAGGGGTATCTGAATAATTGCGGTGGGCTTTGGTTTACCGGTTGTTGTTGATCAAGCGGAAATGTGAAACAGGTCGTATTCGGATTAGCCTGAATTGATTGAGATAGTGTGCAGATGGAGTAAAAATTCTATCTTCACTTAATTTATTCGCATATTCTATGAGAACAAGATATTTTTAGAATAATCCCAGAATAGATGAGAAATTCTGGAGCTCTTGTTATGCTCCTGAAATTGATTTGAAATTCAGCAGTACGCTTGAATTATGTCGGAGGCACTCGAGAATGAAAAGTTAGTTGGCAGGTGTTTAAATTTAACTTTCTTTGGCAACTAATCCAAACCAAACTTTAACAGTCAAATGCATACACAATGTTGCACACTTTCAGCACGAAAAGTTTTGTGCATTTTTATTTATTCATTAATGTGGTAAAAGGAAATTCAAACAAGCGTATATTCCGGTAATATTTAATATAAGTGAAAAATGGAACAGTTTTGTTAAAGTTGGATATTATAAAGTCTTTTTTAGTTGTAGGTTGCTACAATTATATTTCTTCTTTTAAAGATATAGCTCACAAATATTTTTTAATTTATATAAAAGGCTTACAACAGAAATTACTTGTATTATTTAAAAGGGTGTTTCAATTCGTTCAATTGTTAGTGGCTGAAAAAATATTTTGCGAACAATACCGATTGTTTTTGTTATTTTTCGATCAAACAGCGCTAGATGGTCTCGGACCCACAGTTTTCCAATTTCGGTCAACAATAAAAACCGAAAATTGTTGAAAAGCCAGAGATTTGCCAGCTTTTCCACGGAATACCCAAAGAGAATTAACATCAAAGTTTACCCGGCACGAAGAGTGACAACATGACAATTACGCGAGAAACCCAACTAGAACCGCTGATACCAAATAAATGGTGAGGAAAACTTTGGCCCAGCCAAAGTGGCGGTGAAAAGCCCGACGGAGTTTCTTGAGTTTTCCGTGGCATACTTTCAGGCTAGCTTTTCTGGGCTGGCCCAGGGGAAAAACTGCGGCGAAAAGTGCTGGGAAAATTGCGGCCATGAATGACGGGAAATCAAGGTATCCAGCGGGTCGAGCCCAGCGTTTAGCGCAATTCTTTGGTTAATTTTTTATGTGATTACCCAGCAGGCAGCTGGCAGGCGGCAGCCTGTAATTGCATTTTAATATTGATGATATATTGATGCCGCGAGTTGCCAAATGGATGGATGTGTGTTCACTTCATTTATGAAATTTACATTTATTTCATTTAGTGACAGGCCACCTTTTCGGTTTTGATTAAAACGGTTCGCGGGTCACGAGCCATCCACCCAGCCAGCCTTCATTTGCATAGTTTGATTTCGCGATTGGCAGTTGGCATTTCGGCGTTGAGTGTTGACACTGGACGTCAGCTGCGAAAACAAGCGAAAGGTGAGGTGTTTGTCGAAAATCAATTGAACGCTTAAGTGCCAGGACACTTCACGCGAAAGTTTTCACTCGCCCGTGTTCTACAATTCAAAGCAAATATTTTTTAAAAAGTATCCTTACATTAAAATTATAAGTCTGTGCCTTAGAAAAATTTTAAAAATGCCATTAGGATAACATTTTCAAACTTGGAAATCTCCTCTATGGCTGTCTAAAAGTAGGCAACAAATAATATGTATGTGTTATTGCAAAAAAAATTTATTTACTTGACAGCATACTTTTAGAGAGCTTCTAAGTGATATCTTTTTAAGAACTTGTAAAATATATTAAATACATTACAAATTGTGATTTTTTAACTAAGAATAAGAAAGTAAATGTATATTTTCAGGTATATTTCTATTTTAAAGTTTTTCTAATCTTTTTAAACCGTCAATCCGTTCGTTTTTTTTGCGGAGTGAGCATTTCATTTCCATTTACAATATTACATTTGTGTCGAAGAAGTCGTGACAGGAAAGGACTCGTCCTGTCTCGACCCTTTTCCTGCTGAACTCCGCACAAAATTTTCCACTCCACCCCGCCCGCAGACAAATGCATTATTTTTGTTTTTCCCTTTGTTTTTCCTCCACTCGAATAACAAGTTCATTTCGAGTCCTGTAAACAATGGATTCCATCACAACAAAATTCGTATATGTCAATCCAAAGTATTTCGTTTCATTTTTGTCCTGCTGATTCTCCTCAAAAATTGTTTCAAACAATTTTGGGTTATGTGTGGGAAACCTTTTCCTGTTTGTTTACAATTGGCTTATCTCAGATTTGTCTATGGATTTCGATTACAGTGAAATGGATATTTTGCGAGGCTGCATCAACAGAACCTGGCAATTATTTATTGATTAGATAGACATTAAGATTTATCTTTCAAAAGGGCTGCCAAAAAAAATAAAAGGGACAAAAGCATATCAATAACCAAGGACTGACCTGATGCCCGAGCATTGAAACATTGTTTTTAGACCCTCCGAAAGTCATCAAGTTGAGGGCCCTGATCTTTCGGCAACAATTTCGAATCGGAAGCAATTTGCAAGTCGCCTTGCCTGGGAAAAGTTTTTAATTAGATAAGGAGTAATCGGCATAAAGTGTGGATAATTTGCATATTTCGGGAAAATTCACGAAACATTGAATTACTCTCGGCTAATTTAGTGACTTTAAAAGTTTTAAATTGTTCAGTGTATGCTAATGAAGACACTGGATCAAGTTTTTTGCTCAATTCAGCAGAATTTCCCTGCTTTCAGTGGATTAACTTTTGATTTTCCATCTTCGGCTTGATTATTAATTTTAAAGTTTGTAAAAATCGTTTTGGTGTTCAATTTCACACTGCATAATGGGGAGCTTTATTATTGATTGATTCATTAAACGCAAATCGTTGGGCTAATTAAACGAGAAAGGTTTAGAATAATTGAGTGTGCTTTGCATATTTTGGCATGAAATTGATAAATAAATACCAATTCACTGATTTGGGATGGGGAGTTAAAGTTATTTTTAATTAAAATGGCATTTGCAATTTTAAAGTAAGAACAATATGGCTTTTTCAATTTTCTGTTGGGCTTTTCAAGCCTGCTCATTCATTACAAGAAGACAAATTGACACTTTCTTGGCTTGCCTTTTAGCCTAAACCCCTTGAAACTTTCCTATTTGCTCTTTTTATAACAAGTTCCGAAAAATTCTTTGGCTTTGCTCAAGTATTAATTCTCAACTTTCCTTAAAGTGCTCGAAGGAGCGGATTCCCTGCAGTGTTTAAACCAATTAGTTTGAATAATTTGCTGGCGCTTGTATCATTTATAACCCGAAAACTTCTTAATCAAGCCGCACAAACCACACAAGGGTTTCCCCGGGTTTCCCTTGGTTTCCCCCGACTTTATTTTCATTTCCCATGGTTTTCCATAGCATTGCTTAATTGTCCCTGGGTGCGTTTTCTTCGCTCTGCCTCTCTCTTTTTTTGATACACCCCTCCAGAACTTGATGGGGCTTAATCCCGAGCAGACTTTTGGGGCCCTGGGACCACTGGGAAGTGCATCTTATCTTAAGCACTGGCCAAAACGCATTGACAGCCACTTGATGCTGCGTTATTTTCCGTTTCTCCGTTTTTGGTCATGGCAGTTTATGGCTTGCAAATCCTTTGTGATTTAGTAGAGTGTCACCCCCTGGAAATCCCTCTCAGCTGTCACATAAACCGATTAAACTTTGAGCAGCTTATGCATTTTGTATCTGTCAGCTATCTCGTATCTGGCAAATGTGCAGCTCTAAGCAGGCTCCGCCGACAACTCCTCTCGGGATACCCCAAAATCATACGTATAAACACACATCGTTGACCATAAACTGCAAATTAGAGCTGGCAAAATATGAAGCACTATCGGATGAA